TCTGACGAAGACATTGAGCGCTTCAGGTACGGGGCACTTGCCCAAGGTGCTGGGGGGTCCTGTGTGCAGCAGCATCCCGAGGGAGCTCTGGGAAGCTGGACTCTTCCAGCATGGATGTGCATGGAGTTGCTGGATACCTTCCTCTGTAGCAGTAGTGTCTTTGAGGAGAGTCATCCGGCCAAACATGGCTCAAATGTGCTCTGGCTTCTCTGGTTCCCTCTGCTTTGGAGGAAGGAGTTCATGAGGATCTGTAACAAGGAGGTGAATCTACCAGGAGTTCTGATAATGGGAGACGAGATCCGCAAACCCAACCTCATTCGGTCTGAAAAAACAGTTAATAAAGTGCATGATTTCTGGGAAGATGAAGAGTTGTTCAGATACCGTACTCCGCCAGAGGTAAAAAGCCAATAGGGTGGTGGGAGAACCTAGTAGAGATTTGTGAACATATACATGTTTTAATGCCAAGGTGGAGGTAATGTCCAAGCTGGGCAGGCCAAACTAACCCTTCTGGAAGGTTATGTGTTCTGTACAGGCCTACTTTAATACATGCTCCATCCAACATCAGGTGGATTTGTATTTTGTGTTCATGTTGGGGCAGTTATCAGCAGCAGATTCCCATCAATTTTCATAAGAAAAGAAAGTATATTGTGTGTCATGTGTAGATACAGTTCCTCATGTATTGGCTTGTCCTGGATCCTGGAGTAGGAGAATCAGAGGTGGACATATGAGATTTTGTGGAGCTCTTGAGCTGTTGCCCTGGCAGTCATCCATCTTCAGCAAGGCCTTGGCATATACTGCAGCAGAGAAAGTGCTGGTGGTTTATTTGTGCTTGTTTTTTATTTTGGGTAAAACTGCTGATAATAGGTCCACCCTCATGAACAACCCAATCAACAATTAATTAACGGTATAGATCTGCCTACCTTTTGTTTTACTTGCTATATATTACTGCAGCATAAACCACAAATATTTCTTGTATTGCTTTTTCCTTTGTAGGTCCTAAAATATGTTGAATGCTTCACAGGGCCGAACATAATAGCCATGCAGATGATGCTGATAAATAAACTTCCAGATCCTGGTACGCAGAGCTCCAGGGAGAGGGAAATGCAGAAGTTATTAGTATGCCTGGGTTACCATGTATTTAACTGAAGTGGCACTTACCCTTTTAGAAAAGTTGCTTGAATTGAATTGAATTAAAAGCATTTCTGAAAATACATGAAATAATTATTTTGGTAATAGTGTGTTTTAGTTTAGCCCTGGCCTGGGGGATATGTTTCTTGTAGTTTGGTTTGCTGTAGATGTTCGGATTCACACATTGGGAGATAGGTGTGTGCCTCCTAAATTGAAGTGTTGTTATATCTAACTGCATGTTACATCTGAAACACTCTTTCCAACTAATTTAATATCTTTCTGCAGTTTAGATCTTTGCACCATGTTATCTGCCCCTCAACTGTTTTTTTTTTAAAAGCAGCATTCAAGTTTCAAAAAGTAACATGGAAAATTAGACACCCAGCTGCTTATCCAGCCATCTGCACTTGCCTGAATCCCCACTGTTTAAGACACTTTTTTTTTAGGCTTGACATTTCACATGTGTTGAAAACAAGTGCTTCCTGGAGCTTGGTAAAAGACAATAAATGCAGAAAAGATGTTTTGCTTAGAGTTTGTATGCTATTTTGCAGACTAACAGTTCAGAAATGTCAAATTTAGTCTGACTCCTGACCTTGCTGACAGTTGTTGCACGCTCAGCGCTTTTATATGAAGACACTTGAATAGGAGCCAAAGGAAGGATTTTGAATTCTGCTGTTGGCTTCTAGTGCTGCACATCAAAGTCTTACTTCATACAAGAGAAATGGGGGGAAAAAAGGAAATTTAATTAACTACATTACAGTTTTTTCAAAGTTGATTTGAGTCTTCATAAGGTTTTGCAGTTCAGCAGAGTTGAAACCCGAGCTGTTTCCTCTCCTGAGGTGTCCAGCTTCTGCATGGGCAGAGTACGTTGAGTTATTAAAACACTCAGGTTGTTCATGCATTTCCCAACAACTCCACAGAGCAGCTATGGACCCAAGAACCATGTCTGGGCTCTTACTGTGGCCACAGAGTGAAATTTAAACTCATTTGGCCTCAGAATTGAGCGCCAGCAAAGAGCATGCTTAGAGACAGTGCTTCGCCTGCAGCTTCAAGAAAGAAAATCAGTCACCTCCTTTGCATCTCTTCTCCTACACCGAGAAGCCGGTGGTGTTCCAATTTTACTGAATTATTTCAACTCTTCCTTGGTTTGTAGAGTCCGCCGATCAAACTTTTCCATGGGCTGCTGGACTGTGATGAGAAGAGTCCCAGGGTTCACCTTGTCATGGAGAAGGGAGACACGGTGTTCTTCCATCCCCTGCTCATTCATGGCTCTGGGATAAACAAGACATCAGGTTTCCGAAAGGTAGGAAACCACCAGTAGATAAAGCTGTCAGTATTTTTTTAGCTGCTAAACACCATCAAAGTCTTCTTAACTAAGAACTGATTACAAAATAAGTGGGTTGATGCGACTGTCTGGGTGCAGAGTAAGAATCCTTATGAGCACAGAGATCTGCTCTGGCCTGACTTCTCCGATTGCCACTCTGCTTGCTGGTAATCTGAGCTCAAGGAGCTGAAGTATTGCTTTAGGTCATGTGTGTCCACGATCCGGGATGCATGAGCTTTTTTCCACCGGTCATTTGTAATCAATGTGGTAGCGAGTGATGCCCAGTTTCCTCATGCAGAGTATAAGCTGTCACTTTGCAAGCTCTGAGTGCTACTACATTGACATTAAGAACACGACCCAAAAGCAACTGGAGAAAGAAGTGATTCGAATTTGGACATGCAAAATATAAAGTGACTTCTGCTTCAGTCCTTGCGGTAATCTTAAATCATGACCTTGTCTTGTGACTAGCAAGCATTTTGGGCCTTTTTGCTGATAAGGCTGCTTTTTGCTGCCTGGCTGCCTGTGCTGGAGAGGTGCCCTTGCTCTCCAGGCAGACCCTTCGCGTCTCTGGAAAGCAACAGCGGAGCTCTGCAAGTTCCTCCTCTAGCTCTGCTCATCACCGTTCCCACCTCTGAGCTACCAAAATTGATTTCATCCACTCACCTTGGTATCTTTCGGTGCAAATCAACCCAGCTGGGCAAACTTACGCCAGGAGCTGGTTAGGTGACCATAACTCAATTTGCAAGAATAGGAGGGCATAGTTTATAGAGTCCCCATCTGTGGTGTCTTCTCTGCATACCACGTCAATCCAGTGAGCCTTTTGGGATTTGTAGCTTTTTATTTCATTTAGCGTTTTCTGTACTTTTCTGTGGGAGACTCTGAAGACACAATGAACAAGTTAATGGGTATTTTTATGAATATGTGGCCAAACAGATAAGCTCATGCCAGGAATAAGCAGGAAACACTGTGTCCAAAGATGGTGGCTTCCAGGTATTTCTTTGTTTGATTTTTTTTGTGGGATTTTTTTTTTAATGCAGGGTGTTTGGAAGAAGTGAGCAAAGGTCGTGCAAGGAAAAAAGAATTAATCTTTAAAGTGGCCTCTGAAGACAGGATGGAAAATGTGTGCCTGAGCATCAGCTTCTGAGTAGCCAGATTTATGTGCTTTTTGCCCTCTATGTAAGAAATGTACCCAAATACTGCATTACAAAATCATTTTGTGCTAATACAAAATAGTTGCATTGAGGTTGAACAGCTGATGTACTTCAAAGAAAACCTGACCTACAAAACCAGATTTGCTGCAGTTATTTTAGGTAATCAAAGAAAAATGTCGAAGGGAGATGTGCTTTGCTTCTTTAATTTTTTTTTTAAGTCTCTTTCCTGATATGCATTTGGGCTGATGCTCTATTAATGTAAGGTTATTAATAATCTTAATAGGATTGTAATAATTATGACGGTTAGATGAAATTAATATTATTAATATAAGATTCTGTGCACGATTATGTTTTTAAGGTTTCCAACATCCTTTTCCCGTGCAAAATAAACACAGCGCATCAGAGTTTCATGCAAGTTTCAGTATGAGCTGACATTGGAAGTCGCTAGTACAGCTGATGAAGATGTGGATTTTTTTTTTTTTTTTTAAATAAAGATTAAATTAGAGCAAACCCATGTTTGGTGGCTGTGTTGTATTATTTCTGTGATTCAGAAATTTCTGCCGATGGGTGTGTGGTTGAACAACCAAAGCGGTGAGCCCTGGAAAGGTAGGTGTTTGGTCTGAGAAAAATGGCAGGATGCTGCTGCCGAGAGTCACCCCAAAACCAAACAACAACTGCCTGTGTCCTGCCTGTCTGGCAGGATGTTTGGGCAACCGGGTGCAGGGCAGGGAAGCTGCGAGCAATCCCGGTGCTCCTGGCGCTGAGCCCTCCTGGTGTGGTTTGCAGGACTGGGAAGCAGTTCAGGGATGGCTCTTCTTTATTCCAGGAAATCCTGCTGCAGTTCAGCTTGATGCTCTGGGATGCTGGGGTGTAGTTTTGGTGTGTGGGGCTGGACACCTTCTCCTGAAGGCTTCCAGTCCAGTGGGAGTTTGGCTTTACCACCATTACTTTCTCCAAAAATCATCAGGACATGTTAATGAGTCCCAGGAGCTGGTAGGTGCTTTCTTGGCACCATATTTTAGTGCAGTTACAAGTCTTTTTGCTAACATTAAAGTCAATCTTCTTGTTGTGAGCTATGGCCATTTTTTCTACTTTTAAATCCTAGCAGACACTTCATGGCTCTTTATTACAGCCTTTGCTCACATATATGGCAATACCAAAACCATTTTGGAGACAGCTTTGGGCAAACCGCCTGCCAGTATCTCTTCACCTCATCACTGCGTGACCGTCCTGGTCCCAGCCCATGTCCTGGCTTCCACGCTGTTACAGCCAAATTTTCAGAAATCAGGGTATCGGTGCAGCAGTAGATGAGTTATGCTGTTACGCCTGTGGTTAAAAGCCAACTGTCCTAAGGATTTATTATGTTAAATATAAAACAAGCTGCATCTGAAGGCCTAAGGACAGCTTGTTGTATAAGGAAATACAGCATGCATGCTATTTATGGAAAGGTTTTCTTTATTTTTAATAAGGACTTTTGTTGAGCAACAGGCACGAAGCAAGGTTTCATGCAATCAGTTTACCCGCATGCAGGTGGAGCAGCTAGACAACTTGTCCATGGGCTGTGCGGCAACCTGCATTGAACTAGAAGGTTTCAAGCCCATCATCTCCTTGCAAACATCTGGTCACCTGCACCATCGAGGGGGTGATGTTACAAAACTTAACACGTCCACGGTTTGGTGGCCTGGTCTTCCCCCCATTGCTTTGCCCTGTTGTGCTGTGTGAGAGTGAGCAGGAAAATTCAGGACCTGAGCATCAGGGACGTGGTACAGACCTGGCCCTGATTTTATCACTGCTGCATCCTCCTGTTGGGAGTTTGCCCTCTGGATCATAGTTCAAGGCGGTCAAGCGAGGGGAACTTAGAGCTAAGGAAGATTTTTCAGGCAGATGGTATTTTCTCCTCCAAGTCAGTGGGTGGATCTCCCCTCCGCACCCCTGCCCAGCTCCCCTCCTGCCGGGGCTCAGGGTGATGCTCTGCAGGACATGTACCTTCCCTCAGCAGCCTCTGGCCCTGAAGTGCTCACTCGTCAGGGGTGCTGTCAGTGACTTGAGCTGGAGAGACATTTTCCACAACACAGTTTTGAGGAAGGTTTTCCCATCAAAGTAATGTCCTGATTTACACATCAGCTAAAATGTTGTTCATGTCATTTTTAGACCACCTTTTCCCCAATGCATGCAGTCCTTCCTCTTCCTTTTCCTCTTTCCCTTTCCCCTTCCCTTTCCTTTTTTCTTTTCTCTTTCCTCTCACTCCATCTTCATCTTTATCATCTACCTTTTTCTTTCTTTATCCTTTCTCTCTCTTCCTTCCTTCCTTTCATTCATTCTCTCTTTCTTTTTTCCTTTCTCTTTCTGTCACTCTCCCTTTCTTTATCTTTTTCTCTCATGCATTTGGTCTCAAAGCATTATCTTCCTTTTTTTTTTTTAAATAAAAAAAGAAATTAAGTGTTTCCATTCTATATTTTGCCTCCTCTGTTGTTTCAAGGCTCACTAAGTTTGTGCATCTCCAGAACACCAAAGCTGCATTTCTACTGGGAGCAACAGACACCCAGATGCCCGCAGGGACACAGGCGCTTAAAGTCAAAGCCCCAGTTCTCTGCCGAAGTGGGGGGTCACGGCCGTTGCCGTTGCAGCTGGTGCCCCCCTGCCCTGGCTCACCCCACATCTGCAGCCCCAGAGATCTGTGGTCCCCTTCCTCCTGCAGGATCACTGGCGAAGCCAAGGACTAGCGAAGGGTGACCAGAGCAGAGCACAGCACAGTTTTCATTCCTCCAGCGCTTCCCACGGGCCAATTTGGGCTGGAGGGCAGAGGTTTTGCCAGGTCCACCTAAGTCCACAGGCCTTGACTGGATTTTTGGCCTCAATGATTACTTTAATTTACAAGTGGTCCTAAGTGTATTGACCCCATTGACCCCTCTTGTGATTTTGATTACATGGTTGGCAGTGTCTGCAGTATGGCCTTTTTTTTCCCCGGAGATTCAATTTCAGAAATTCTCTGGTACACATGAGGATTTCAGGAATTAGAGAAAAATGGGAAGCAAAAAATCTTCCCACCCCTAGTGTTTCTAAATACTGAAGCTTGAAAAAATAGGACCCCCACCAAAAAAAAGTGGAAAAAGGGATCCAAAAGCTTCGAAACCACAAAAGGGAGATGAAGAAAAATTCCATTTCATTGTAGTTTTAACCCTTAGAATTCTTCAAGCCAGTTTCATTGATGTGATGAGGTCCATTAATGATTTTTCAGCACTTTGTACTGACAAAGCTGCTGCTGGCCAACTTTATTAACAAAAAGTATATGCCTTCTCACACCTTGGGGTTTGGCTTGAGAACTTTCCAGACATTCAGCTTTGGTCTTCAGCAATTGTTTCTTTTGCTGCATGAAAAAGGATTTTTCTCAAAGTGTTATTCCATTCTTAACCAAAAAAGTAAAGGAAAAAAATTCAGCCTAACTTTTCCAAGAAATCTCCCTTCCAGGCTGAGAGCTGGAAAGGAGCTTTCATCCCCCAAAAGGACTTGTCAAAAGCAGCAACAGCAAAAAAAAAGAACACAAGAAAACATTTATTGCTGCTGTTCCCAAGCAACTTCTAGGCTAAGAGACCCCACATTCAACTGCATCCTTCTCTTAGGAGTGGAGCAGCAGTTTCAGGGATGAAAGAGCACTCTTTTTTGGGAGGGATTTACACAACTCACCGAATCTAACCAGGGTGTTCAAGTACATTATCACCAGGATCTCCATAGGCCTGAATGAAACCAGACTGACAGCATTAGGTGTGTTTAACACACAGGGCATCCAAGTCTTAGTATGTGCTAGCAAGTAACTGAGGCCTTAATTTAGTAAGGTAATTAAGGCCCCATGTAATTACTTCCCGTGGCACATGCCATGCTGCTGGTGTACAGGATGGGCTCAGATACAGGAGCACCAGGTGCCATGGTTTGCCCATGACGAGCTCCTATCCAGCCCCTGATCTCCTCTAAGCCACCCTATTTACTCCAGCTCTGCAGGGGAAGAAGGAACCTGTTAATTTTATGCTCGGTCATGGTCAGTGTCACGTGTCCTCTCCTAAAATCAGCGTGGCCAACGTGCCGAGTTATCCAGGGTTACAACACAGGCGCTCGCCTGGTGAGTACTCCCTGTTGGGACGGCCGCCTGCACCAACGTCGTGTATTTTCATGTTTGCACATGTATTCTGTCCCCTGCGCCTTTCCCAGCCCCTGTTGTGCCTGGATAACCAGCCCGGACGTGTCTGTTCTCCAGTCCTTAGCTGCTGTGGGGAGAAAGGGAGCAATTACCTTTTCCTATGCAAAATATCTCCCTCTCCTTGCTCTGATTACTCCCCTGCTCCTTGTCTGTGCAAGCGGTGTGAGTAGCCTGAAACCAGAGCTGCTCCTTTCTTGGCTTTAAGTCTATGAAGACAGAACAGAAAAATACCGTATAAGCAGCTGTGCTGGAGAGGAAGCTGCGTGACATGTTGGTACAGCAGCAAGTCCGGCTGCCTGTGCTGAGAGCTGTCAGGCAGCCAACAAAAGGCATGAGCAAACACCAGGGCAGGTAGGAAAGTCTGGAAAAAATCTAACAACAAGGTGCAAACTTAACAGCAAAAATAATTTTCCTGGAGAAGCCATGTCCCCAGAGACACTAGGGATTTCCCTTCCTCTGCATTTGCCTCTCATTCTAAAAGTCAGGTTTTGAGTTTTTGTCTAATGGACCATGGACAAAGGTTATTTTGCCATTTTTGAGTCACTGTTAAGTCGTATAAGTAGAAAAGGGCACTGATCGCTCAGGCTGTTTTTTTCAGCCAGCAGCAGAGGACCCCAGTTGCACCTTGAGGCTCTTCCGCGTGGGCATTGCAGGGGTTTTTCAGGGCAAAATGAAACAGGATCTGCAAAATGGCTTTGCATGGGAAATGAGAATATAAGAACAGGAGAAACGTTTTGCCTGTAGTCTTGTCCCACACATACTTAATTGTGGGAGGGAAAAGCCAGGCAGCAAGTGGGTTGGGAAATATAAAATGATGTGAAATAGCTGGGTGAGTCCAGCTTGCCAGGGGAACTGCACATGATGGCCCAAGAGACCACTGCACGGGCTCTGCCATTAAAAACATACAGGCAAAAAGCAAGGTCCTTTAGTAGTGTATTTATTGTGAAAGGATATTAAGTTTTCATTAAGCTGATTTTACTTGAGAGTTAATACAGAGGGAGAAAACACTAAGGGTTTAATTTTTCCTCAAAGCGTTCATAAAATCCAAGGAAAGATAATTTGTGGCAGCAGGGCGAGGTGCTCTAAATTAACATTTCAGCAGTAGCTGAGGGCTGAGGAGAGGCAGGATGCTTAACGTATCTAAAAACCAAGCCTGATTTTGTAGGAGGTTATTATGAGAGAAGCTGGATATCTTCCTGCCCATTTTCATATATACCCAGGGAATTTTGTAGCTGGAGAAACAACTTTGCAGAGAGGAGAACATTTCCTGGCTGGGGAAAGGGCCAATTTATCAGTTTACTATTCTGCAAATCTTATAATGGCTGCGAGAATACACTTTCAGCATTATATTTCCAGTGTGGTTTTGCTTAACGATTTAGGGGACACGGCAGCTTCAGCAACACCACTGTCTTGATTCACTCGCGATGTTAATGGCGGCAGTGGAGGTTTCTGTAATGTTAATCCCATTTAATGCCTTATACCTACTGTGTTAGGGCAGACTCGCATCCCTCGACCTGCCGGCTGCTGTCTTGCTAACCCTGCCTGGCAGGCAGTTGGGCTGCTTCATTGTAAGGTTGGAGGTCTTTGTATCACGTTCCCAAAATTGGGACAGTTTCAGTGACAGCGTAGACCCAGCTGAGCTTGTCAGGTCACACCTGAGCTGCCTCTCGTGGGTCTCTGCTTCTGCTCTCGCTCCCAGGCATCGGTCCAGACGTATCAGTACAGACCAGAGACCCTGCAGGCTGCTCTGGCACGGTGCTGGACTGTGCGCTCACGTGGCAGCTTGCCCCCGGGGGTAGCTCCCCTCCTGCCTGCTTCTGCTGGGCTGGAGCCATCTCTGGTATGAGAAAACTAGCTCCAGAAATAGACCAAGGCGCATAAAATCCAATACATCAATATCCTCCACTCCTTGTTTAAGGGGTTTAAGTAAAGCAATGGGCCTTTGTTTCTTCATCCTATTTTTGCATACATGGATGAATTGAGAGTATTGCTTTCGTTCCTTGGCTCCCAAGGAGGCATATACTTTTCCTATGTATCACAGTCCTGGGGGCATTTGTGAAGATAAATCATTACCCCAACTTTGACACTTTAATTTCTGCACAAATCTCCTTTCCATTGGCCAGAGACAGGAACTGGAAGGAGCCTGAAGCTTTCAGTGTGCTGGCTGAAGGCTGACACCAATGTGGAATTTCATGCTGCTTTTGTGGACTCCAGGTCAGAAACTCCTGTTGGTCTGAATGAGAAAACTGTGTGGCAGCGAGTTACGGACCACAAACCAATTCCTCTTGGTGATTCTGCACCAAGCTTTTGGACAAATGAAGATGTTGAGCAAGCAACTCATCCTCTTCCTCAGAGATATGACGCCGTACAAACCCAGGGAATAGTTTTTTTGCGCACTGTATTTATTATGAATGAGGAATCAACAGGAGACACTGCCAAGCAATGTCAGTTACATATTTAGTCACCTACCAGTGACACCCCACCTATCAAATGAGACTGAAATGAATGCAATATACCGAGCAAAGTTGCCCAGCAAAAGCACCAGTAGGAGACGAGGGCTGCAGAATACTGAGGTAAATCTGTCCAGTTGCTTCAAATGAAGTAACTTATTTCTCTTCCAGCCCCTGTGCAAGCAAATGAAAGAGGTATGGGCAAGGCCACCGAGACTTGTGAGACTGGTGGTGGCAGTTTCACCAAATCACTGAGGTACTAGTGGCTTTAGGCACTTAAAACCACCCTGTGATCCTACAGGATGCTAGGGGCAGCAGAAGCATCAGATCCAGGAAAAGCTGGCCAAACGCCACAGGCATCCCTCCAGAGATGTCCTTTCAGAAAAACACCTGTATGAAGACAGCCCTTCTCAGGAGCCACCCCTTAGAGATCTCATCCTGCTTGGTCTGAGACAGCTACTGTGCCCCAGGCAGCTGTGCCAGCAGCCAAGGTTGACATAGCGCTGATCGGGAAAGATTTCAGGAAAATTTAAAATGCCAGAAAAAGGGTAAAAGCTATTAAATGTAATTGCTCAGCTCTTTAAAAACCACTCACAAAACAGTGCCAGGTTCATCAAAACGCTTTCAAAGTGGGAGCTGCAGGTTTGTAGCCATAAAGGTTCTGTAGTGTGGATGGTGCTGAGAACTCAGTACGGGTGGTGTGATAGGGAAAGAGCGTTCCAAAGAGCTCCCAACAGTCTGCAGCGTAAACACTGCTGGCTGCAATGCCAAAGCTACTGAAGGGTTTTTTAACACATAAGCCAAGGAGACAACTTGGGAACTGTTTGACATCTGTTCTTAAGGGTTCAAAGTGAGTAATTTTGGAGCCAATGAAGACTGCTCTGTGGCTACCACCCTCTCGCACCCCTTTTTGGCCAACAGGTGAAAAACCTTGACAGATTGGCATTTACACACCACATTATTAACTTCACAAATGCTTATGGAATCTACATTCCTCCCAGTTCATGATGATTTGTCACTTAAAATTCTGGTGTGGTCACTCTACACCAGCCATTCAACATAAATTGTGGGATACCTACGGATTTCTTGGGACAAATTCCACTCTAGATGTCTCTTTTCTAGGTTAAATCTTGTAAACAAGTTGTTAGCAAGAAAGAACAGGCATAAACTTGTATTTCACATGCAGCCTTATTCAGTCAATTTTAAAATGATCAAAGCTAAATATCCATGCAGTGGCCTGGTGGAGACTTTGTGGATGTCCTTCTCATCAGGAATTGATTCCCCTGCTCATTCATCCCTAAAACCAGAATCCTCTTGGCATTCCAGTAATGAAATGTGTGGTTTAGACACAGAAATCCACCCTTACGCTGTGAAAAAAATCAACTCCAGGTCACTTAAGACTATTGAGAAATTTTGGTTGTTCTTCTCCTCGTGGTAGAAGTGTTTCTCCACCAATCTTCGGACCTTTTTTCTCCTAGAAACATGAACCACGGAGAAAAGAAGTTAAATGTGTGGTAAGATGTCTCCCAAACAGTTCTTTGACAGAAGTTGTGGTAGGGCTAGATTATCTGATTAAATATTGACAGTCTAGGAACCTTGACATTCTGAATTTTTACAACTTCGGTCAAGAGCAAACTCCCCACGGTTAAATAAAAAAAAGCTTCAAGAACAGAAAGCAACAAGTCCACTAAAACACAGCCTGCAGGTACCTGTATGTACCTGACAAAATGCAGAGCTGCTTGGTTTTGCTGGGAGCTTGTAAGGGCACTGAAGCAAAGCATAGGACCAAAGTACCAAGAGAAGCAGCCAGAGAGCTGAGGTGCTCAGAAACTGCTGACTCACTCTTACCTTTAACATCCCATCTCGCTCCCACTTGAAGAGGCCACAGGTACTGAAAGATGAAGATGACAGGTGAGGACCACTGTGGTGTGTGTTTGCTGCACAATATGAGGGGGTCCAAAACCAGCCCCACACCTTTCCCACACTGCTTAGTTAGCACAAGGGCTAACGTTCCCGTTTCAGGACATGGTTACGCAACTCCCAACATGTTACTTGTGAATGGACAAAAGCCCCATCACTATTTCATGAGGCTCATTTCTTACCTGCAGGGCTTTTTTGGGAGTCTGTCAAGGGAAATAGCTCGGTTTCCACAAGGACATTTGAAAAATCGCTTGATGGCATCGTGCCACTGGTAGTCGTGGTTATCCTGCACACATGTCTCCAGAGGCTTGAAAAAAGTGTAATTACACTGTCAGGGAGAAGAAAGAGAGCTGTGAGTGCTTCACCAGTAGGCGAGACCTGTTCTGTGGGCTAGCAACAGCTGAACACTCAGAGGAAAGCATCTCTATCTTCTCCCATCTTGAGGAGCCCACCAGTCTGATATCATCGCCCCAGGCTTTGTCACTGCTCCTTCTAATGTCATCCTCCTCTCTTTGCCGCCATCCTGTGGCCCTGCTCCCAACGCCTCACGGGGCACACAGTGGCCCTCTGTGCAGTCCCAAAACAGACAGGAAAGGAAAGGCAGCAGGAGGGCAAGTCCAGCAGGGGCTGAAACTCTGGGAATGGGAGGTAACTCCTCCCTTCCTCTTGGCACATTTGGGATAGTAATAAAGCTCCACTCCTCTTCCTGACAGTAAAGTCCCTGGAAATGCAGATAGAGAATCCCACCCAGTGTTATGTTTTCAAGGCACTTCTCTTATTTTGTCATGTAATATGAGGAACTGAGGGTGCTGGTACAAAGCACTTCAGGGAAGAAACTGATAAATATTTTCAGGACACCAACACCCAAGGAACCCACTGGCATAAACATCAAGTTGAGATGGTCAGCACAACACTAAAGCCTGCCTTGCCAATGTCTTCATGTGGCAGTCACTCAGTGCATGGGCTGCTCTCGGCAACAGGCGTAAGGAATGAAATTGTCTCTGTTTGATCCCTGCACTGGACTATGGCCAAGAGAGTGACAGATGGGAGTCTGCAGGATGGTCCAGCATCGTTTTGTACAATCCATGTTCCACTCCACTGCCGTTACTCTGGCTCACCTTCACTCACCGTTTTACATGTCACAACTCGACATTTCACTTCTTTAATGCTTCTCATCTTCTCTTCCATTTCTTCTTTTTTCACCAGTGGCTGAAAGTATTGCTCCTGCAGTTCAGCCTCAGCCTGTGGGGGCACACAAAAAGGGTCGTTGGGGAGACAAAGATGGGAGAAGCCACTCCATAAATGGCCTTAGGGCAAATTACTACCAGGCCTGCTTGAAGTAGACTGCAGTCTAGGAGCCAGAGAAACACTAAATATCTCTTGCTTCAAAAATTCCATACAGTGCATAGGCTGTGCTTCATCAACATTGAAATGAACCACCTCTGAGATGTATGAGTGGGAGGGTTTAACAACAGTATGTACTACTCAAATAAGCACAAACCTATGAGAACAGTGCATGGAGAGGTCAGGTAGGCAGATGTAATGAATGGAATTGGTTCTTAGCCAAAATATTACTCCTCAGAAGACCTTAAAGCAACTAGGACTTCATACCAAGACAACACGTCCAAGACAAGAGCACTGTGCCACTGGAGGTGCTGTATCCCTGGGAACTTGCTCAGCAAAGACCCTGATGGGAGAAACCCAACCTCTTAGCTCTTCAGGGCAACTGCTAGCATTTCACAGGCTCCACAACTTACATGAGTCCCAGATGAAGATGGCAGCTGTCTTTATGTGGCCAAGATGTCAAGAAATGAGGGACAAAATAGGCAGGTGGCTAATTTGGTTTTAAGGCAGGATTTCTTTGATCATCCACTACCCAGGAAACCTCACTGATTCTTCCAAACACAGCAAAAAAAACAATGACAACTTGACCGTACCATGGCTATGGCAATAATGCTGACTTGCAGGCACTGTGTGCTCAGACACCCCTGGCCCTACTCATCAGGACAATTTAGTTCTATGACGTGTCTGGGTGCCTGCTTCTTGCTACAAATCATTATGAGAAGTCCAGAAAGCTCCCTAGTTCTGAGCCCTCAGTCAAGGCTGGATTGAGGCCATACCTCTTTCAGAACATCTGTGTGCTTGGACTTGGCATTCAGGATTTTCTGGAACTCTTCTGACTCCAGATAGGCCAGCTGCTCACGCCGTTTCTTTTGGGCAGGCTCCAGTTCATCCATATCTAGGGGGACAAAAAGGCTCAGTCCTACGGAGTCCAAGTTCAGAACAAAGTGTGATCCATAAGCATGATCACTGCAGGAGATTTTGAAAGTCTGAGGTCTCTCAGGCATATGTTCAGGTCAGACAGCAGCCTTTCCTAGTTCAGGAGAACATGAAGTCAAATTCAAATATGGCTTCAGAAAAAATAAAAGCTTTTTTTTTTTTTAAAACATTGCATCTTCTCCCAAAGCACCATACTAGGAATTTTCACACTACTCCCAGGGGAGCAAGCAGTGTTGCCTCCCTGACTGATGGAAAAGTTTTAAAGGGAATTAAGCAATTCATCCAAGATCACACAGTAAATCACTAGCAGCCAAACTCAAGTTCCCACAGGAAATTCAGATACCTTCCCAGGTGGGACTGTTACTTGGCTTCCCTTGGTTAAGTCAGACTTGCATTGCAGATGCTCAAGTGCTGGAAGAAAGGGAACAGAGATGAGGACAGGGAGCTATCAGAGATTTCATCTCACACTCTGTCCACAGGGTTAGAGATTGTTTAGCCTTTGCAACAAACCCTTTAAGTTCTAAACAGACCTAACTTGGCCTCTTTTTGGCACAGCAATGAAGTCCTTAATGCAGCAACTAGTGCTCTGTTCAGCAGGACATAAGCATATTTTTTCTATTCTAGAAGCTAACATTACATACCATTCTCTGCTTCTGTACCTTGTGGCTGAGCAACATTTTTCTCAACTCTTTCAACAATTTCTAGGACATCATCAACATCAGCTCTTTTCCTCTTGACACTGTTTGGGTCACTTTTAGCAAGAATCTGGCCTTTTGCTCGTAGTCGGTGTATTGCAGCCAGCTAGAAAACAGAAAAGAGCAGTGAATGTGTTGGTGACCAGTCTGGCTCCCATGTTCCTACTTCCAGAAGTAGCAGAGGAAGTCTGTCAAACTGAGGAGACAAGATCCACTGGCCTGAGCATGGAGCTGGCCGAAGAGAAGCCCAACAAAATTCCCAGGTCTGCTGTACATCTAATTCACCACATCACCCAACCTCTCGTGACTTCCGAAACCATAAAATCACTCCTCCAGGTGTGTTACCAGGCTTGATATCTCTGCAGCTGTGCGTTAACTGCTTCACAAATCAGTAAGTTTTCCAGAGGAATCAAATCACTTGAGATTTCCACATAAATTGGTAATAATTGGGAACTAATAGAAAATTGCATACCACTATTCCTTTCCATATTCCCAGAATACCAAGACTCCTTCTTCCTTGCTGGAAGAGAAAAGTTTCTTTGACAAACATGTGAACTGATTTGTGCCAAGCAAAGATGCAGTCTGTTCTGGCTAGAAACCAAAATTATTCAAACTCATGGCACAACATACCTAGACTAGTTTAGTTCACTGTTGCTTACCTGGCAAATGGAAAACACCCAAATACACTGCACTAGCAATCCCGAAGAACAAATACACACAGTTTAGCATTCCCAGGATTTCCAGCACAAATCCCCTGCCCCTTCCCAGCACTTAAGGATTTTCATGCTTGCAAAACAATCAATAGTGACAGGCCTTGCTCTCCTTTCTTCTCTAAGTATCACTTCAGCACCTCCCGTCCTGGCCCAGGACCTATCCACAATCTGATGCTTTAAGATGTCCCAAACCCCCCAAAAAACCAGAGCAAAAGAGCAGCCACTGGTGGACAAAGAAGCTCTGTTGACCTGCATGAAGCACAGGGTACGAGGACATCCACAGAGCTACTCCAAACTGCTCTCCAAAGGTAATTTGCCCAAGGGGTGACAGACTATGTCAGGTCATCAAGAACAGAGACAGTTCTACTCAGAGAAGCTGCCAGCATGCATAAAGAAGTATTTCTTCAGCAAAAAGCTTAGCATCAGGTTCATGACTTAAGAGATGCCCTATCTCCCCATCTCCTTTTCCCCAGTCCAATCCCAAGAGGCTGCTCTGTCCCCCATCCATGCCCAATTAGCATTTGCTGAAATTGCCAGTTGTGTCTGTGGCTTCAGTGATGCTTGCCTTTGGAGAAGATCCAAGAGTGAGCTCATGAGCATCACACACGAGACAGATCGTAACAACTCACTTCTGACCAATTCAGGTAGATTCTGAACAAGCAAGAGACATCAGCTCCACTGGCCAAATGTCACATACACAGTCCCTCTTTAGCAGCTGTTCCACTGCTCTGGAAGTTGACTACAGGCAAGATGGTAGCATGGACCTCGATACTAACAGCAGTCAGGAACTGCAGGTTTTTTGTGTACAGTAATATAGACCAATCTGATTCCACAAATCAGAAACTTTATTAACATCAGAACTGACCTGGTCTATATCTCATCGAAGACTCCTTTACTACCACAAACCAAACTTCCCTTAACCTCCACTTCTTAAAAGATTCAAAAAGCTGTTACCTTTTTGGCTTCTGCCAAGCTGCCTAGCTTTGGTGTTGGAGGTGGAGACCCATCAAAGAAGAGGATATCTTCTCCTTCTGAGAAGCCTGTGCCTAGCCTGGGCCTTTGAGGAGTTGACATTTTTGCAGCTTTGGGAAACTCTGCCCCAGGTACTGGAGACTGGAGAGAGGACTGTCTGGAGGAGGATGGCAAAGCAGGGCTGCCAGCTTTACTTGTGTTCTGGAGAAACCTAGTAAGACAAGATTAACCCATTGAAATAGGGACACAAGTCAAAGAGACAGAAAGGTTTAAGAAACAGATAGGAATGGAAGGGTTGCAGACTGATTTTTCACTAATTGGCCTTTTATTACTAGAAAATCATGCAGCAATTCAGGCATTCAGGAGAGGAAAACAAGACTGGTAAGGAATTCACTGGGGTGGCTGAAATTAAGCCACTTGAAGAAGTCACCAGAAGGAGTGAATGACCAATTGCTTTCCAAAACAAAAAAAACCAGATAGAAGCATCAAATGAAGCTGGGAGGTGAGAGATGAAAGCACAAAAATGGCCTTCTTTGCAGAACAGGTAGTTAAGCAGTGGGACCCCTTGTCACAGGAGTCACATAAATGCTTAGGTTTGCATAGGTCATGGTTAAGAAGTTGGACAGGTTCATGGGAAAAAAACCCCAACCCTTCAGAGATATTGTGACAGATACCACCCCTAGCTTGGAAAGTCACTGAAATACTTAGTGTTGGAGGCTAGAAGGGTATCTGGGGGAAATACCATCATCATTGTGCCTAGTCTTATTATTGTCCTTCAGGTTCTGTTTTGGCTTCTGTTGAGCCTTTTGAGGCTACTTGGCTACATCAATCTCAGTCTCACCCAGGGTGGCTTTTCTGTGTTTATTCTTAGGTTTGTTAACAAGATATGCACAAAACACTTGGCAAATCTTAAATTTCAGAAGATCCTTGCAAGCCAGCAATGAACACAACCAGGACTCCTGATACCAGTTTCCTACTCTAATTAGTCTCTCCCCATCATGTCTTCCAGTTGCTGGGCACTGTGCTGTAGCATTTGGTTCTCCACCGAATACTGGGGTATTTCTATTTAAATGAAGTTTTTATTAAAACAGCAAAACACTTCCCACAGTTATACTTAGGGTCACAGTAATGGAACCCTTCCTGTGAAAGTCAGTATGTATTACCGCCTCTGAATCTCTTCAGATCGCTTTTTTCTGGCCTCCAGCAATTTCTGTTTCTGTTGCTTGAGCAGCGCTGAAGCAGAGATAGACTGGAAATTGGCTCCTTGCTTTTTTCCTGCATCTGGGAAAAAAACAAACCAAAACAAAATAAAAAGCTGCTAATGTTTGCTCAGAAGGAAGTTGAGTGTTTTCAGGAGTGGGTTTTGGTTTTCCTTCAGGCAAAAGGACAATACCTGCTTTGGTCCAGTGTTTACAGAGATTTCGTGCTCCAAAAGTTGGCTGTGCTAGCAGTTCCTTGAATTCCTCAGAACATTGCATGGGTCTATTTGCTGCACCTGGAGCAGAAGAGGCAGAAATACAAGAGATTTGGAGCCAGGAAGGGAAGCAGGCCTGGCTTTAGAGATGTAGTCTAGGTTGGAAGAAACTGCTGCAGGCCACCCGAGTGAGCACCACCCCAAAGCAAGGTCAACTTCTACATTATATTTGCCCATAGCCTTGTCCTCACAGAACACATCACGAAGGCGTAGACATTTCTACCCCTTCAGCAATTTCATCAAGTCAGTCAGTTCCCCATCAGCCTTGGCTGTCTGTGGTGTTCCCACTGCTCCCATTTTTAGAACGCTTGAAAGCTGCAGTGGTGCATTTCTTCCCCCTCTCTGGGCTGATCTATGAGCTCGGGAAGTCTTGTTAGGCCTTAGTATAAGCGTAATGAGTTGGGTGGTTAAGCATCGCTTGACTGTACCAGGAACTCTCATACAGCTAAGACGGAGTCATGCTGACCATCTCAAGGACTCCTGCTGCCTGGCAAAAACAAAACCAAAAAGTAGAGATAACTAGTTTTCTAATAATAACCTTGAGACATCCCAGTCCTCCCCTGACAACCTTGGAGCATCCCGTATCTGAATCTTAAGTCATTCCCTAACAGCCTGGAACCTTCCTTATCTGAATTGTAACTCACATGAAATGGTACCAGCACAGCTGGAATTCCAGTAATCTTGTGATGACTAAAGCTAATCATGTCCCAAACCTATAAACAGCAGTACTAAGTGAGACCCTCTGAGCTCTCCTGGACCACAGCAGGCTGTGACCAGCATCCCCCTCTGAGTGGGACACCTCTCGGAGCTCGCAGACTTTTCTGTTTGCAAAGATCAGAGGTCTGTCGCTGAAAGCTGACAAGGCTTGGGCTGATACTCTCCACTCATTGAGACTTGACCCTTCGCCCATTGAGAAAGATGCCAAAGCATTTGACATGAATATTTTCACTGAACTCGAGGGGAATTTTTAACAGTATATCTCTGTTACTTCCTTATGTATATCTCTCTGTGTCTTCGTGCATGTGTGTACTAACCTGAATATTCCCTAACAAGTATATTACAAATATTGCTTTTCAAATCTATACTTAAATTAGTGTCATGAACTTTATTCAACTATAAATAAATCTCAGGCTGCTATTATACTCATAATCCTTTTAGATATAAACCGTTGACCAAGTCTGGGACTAGGAATTGATCCAGCCGCACCTAGACTCTTGACAGTTTAGAAAGCAAGGGGGTCTTCTCTGAACCTCGTGACTCAACGGGAGGGTCTCCCTTACCCTTTTTACATTCCCGATCTCTATACAAATCACAAGAAATTAATTCTAACTCAATTTTTCTTTGTATATTTATCTTTTTTAACCTATTGCATTTTTGGTTTCTGTATACCTAATTTTAGTCTGATTCTAACTTAATTTTCCCGTATACGTTTCATCCATGTACTAAGTAATAGAGTGAACCTTGCCATCAAATTCTGTGAAGTCACGCTTTTATATAAATTCCTATTAAATAATTTTTGTTTTGCTAATACCATTGAAAATGATTCTTTAAGTGGTCCAAACCACTCCATTTCGTGACAAAAGCCCTGAAGCCACCACATCTTATTCCAGGAGAATTAAGAGCAGCTAAAAGCTAGAGACAGGACACACACTGTGTTGTCTGAAATGAAGGCAACTGAGGGAACAGAAAGATGTGAAGAAGACATCTAAGTGGCATCTAGAGCACGTAGTTTGAATGATCTGTCATCTGCTCTCCACTGAGCATAAAGAGGGTGTAATATTAAGAGCTTTACAGAAACAAAATGGAGGCAGAGAAGATCAGTGACATCCCAAAGGCTATGGAAGGAACATGCTTTGAAGATCACAAAACAAAAGCACTAGAAACAGGCTGGATACTCGGAAGGTCCCCTGCATTGCAGACCTGACTCTGATTTATACTTTGTATTCCTTGGAAGCTTTCAAGACTGACAGAAGTCATTTATTTTAATCAAATAAAATAAATTCTCTGGTTCAAAGTTCTTAAAAGTTCCAATTCCCATTAATCTGGCAAAGATCTTCTGTCACTGTCCAAAGACAGAACAGGATACTTAATTTAGGGGCACTGATGAGAAAAAGATGCACGAAGCTACACAGTTGCTTAGTTACATTTGCCTTGCAGCTGCTATCTCAAGAGGGAAGAGGAGTTTTGATCAATTGAGAAAGCAGCCTGCAAACAGCTATCTCTGTAGCAAACCAATTGCCAGATTCATTCATTGAGTAGCAGGGTCCTGGGACACATCTACACATCAAGCTGGAAATATCTGGAGGGTGAAGAGACTATATGGCTAGTTAGGTACCAATTTTCTGCCTGGTTTCCTGGACAATTGCGTCAACTCCTCTCACAACCAGATGGGAGAGAGTGGTTTGAATCTTCCTTTTCGGCGCTGCAGCTGCTGCACTAGAAAGAGGAAACAAAACAAGAACATCAGAGTTTTCCCATGCTTAGAGCAAGGGCAGGAGCTCAAACACTAGCCCAGTACTTCAACAAAACTCCAGCCACCCTAGAGGGTGCCTCTCTCCTGTCATCTGTCAGTCTTTGGGAAGGATGCGATCTAAATCCAAATTCTAGCACAATGTTTAAGATCTCCCATTTCTCCCTGGGTTGGGATATGTATTTCCTATGCATTGAGAGAAAACTAAATGTAAGTAATGGCTAAGCTTCGCTTACAGTTCGCTCCAGGGTTGGAGAGGAGGCTGGAATTGCTTCATTACTGTGGCATCACACCAGTTATCAGAGGGCAGTGGTAAGGGAATGAAAGCCATGTGCAAGCACAGGGCTTGATCCAGCTGTGACTCAAGTCTTTCCACAGCTGTCTTCAGGAGGATTTGAATGAAGGACCTGGCCCCTTCCTGCTAGTTATGAGATGCATCCTGATCTAGTGATCTTGGTCACTTAATAATACGCAAGGTGTACTACTGTCTTCACAATGCAATATTAACCACCCCTTACCACATCTTAGTGCTGTTAAAATTTTCCTATCAAATAGCAGCTCTGTTACCCCATGGTGCCAGGAGGATTACACCAAAGGTGGGGCACTTATTCCTATTTGGTGAATGTAGTTAAGTCAAAGGGATCTCTAACTAAATAGGCCCCCTTAGAGATAGCTTCAGGCTCACTGGTATATGGGAGGGAAATTCTTTTCAAATGCAATGGAAATAAGTGGTTTATCTTACACTGAGGCTGCATATGCTGCTGAAGAGACACCTCCATAGTAAAACCCATCCTGACACAGCCTCTCCTTCAAACTGGGATTTTTCCGACCAACTTTTTTGGGAATGCGACCACCAGAGAAGGTGGACTGCAGATCCGCTCGCTTCGAGCTGAGCTTCTTGTACTGGGATTGTATGTGATACTGACAATATTCACAGTCGTTCTGAAAAGAAATGGGAGAAGCCTGTTGCAGAACACTAGCAATTACAATTTACTTCATTCCTCTCACCCACATGCATCCTTCTAAACTGAAGTAACATCTCTATTGTAGTACTCCAGTATTTGACCAACTCAGCAAACATATGCCCATACTCCAGGAATGAAAAGCAGAACTAAACCTGCCCATACTAATCACTGGAAAAAAACCTGTGCGTCAAGCAATTTTAAGGCTATTCCTTGGCTCAAGTCAACTGATGTCCCAGGTCCTCTTGCCCAGATTGTATGTAATTTTCTTACTAGTATGAACATGAAGGAAAACTAACACAGAGCAAGATATTTCATGGACTCATTTCAAATTAATTCATCAGTTTTCAGTGTCAGAGGGAATTTAGAACTGAAGATAGTGAGTCTGCCAGTCAGAGACAGCAGTGCCATAAACGCACTCACTCAGGGTGTTCTTTAACTTTTTACCAAAAAATACCTCCATTCTTGTTGATATTCATCTGCCCCAGCTTTGTATAACTACAATTACCCCACAATGAAACATTTTTTGCCACTAATTAAACGGACAGTCGATTCCTTCATGAGGTTCTTCTGCCAGACAGCCTCCATCTACAGTTTGTTCCAGGTAGCACTGGAACATCTCACTGAGAGCCCTGTGGCACAAGCACCTCCTGGAGTGGGTCTGCAATCACAGCCTTGTTTTGCTACAGGTATCTTCTGTATTTGTCTTCCTCCCACTCCACACAGCTGAGTGGGAGTTCCACAGGAACTGAGTTCCTCCCAGTTCTTCATTCCTTCATTTTCTCTCCTCCTTCTAAGTGCTACCCTACTAACTATAACCCTTCCAACTTAGGGTTCGTTTCAGGTATCTTAACATCACCATAGCCATGAAGTGACATAGTCCTCAAGTCCTTTAAACTAGTACAAGTCAGTACTGTCTCTACAAGAAGATCCTAACACCTTTTTCCTCTCATGTCCAGTGCACCACATTCAGGTATAAATATTCTAGCAGCTTGCGGGCACGCTGGACCAGGGAACTCAGTGGGTTAAAGCCATGTCTGAAAAACAAAACCATTCCCAAGAAAAACCTCCTATTATTTTACTTTGGATGAGTTCTCTAGTGCAGTGCATGGAAGCTTGCACAGGCACAAAGGAGAATGAAAGGGCGTGGAGACGGTGGCAGTCATGGGTCAAGACCATCTCTTTTCACTGCAGCACCAGCTTTGCATTTAGGGAACTACCAGTACTGCTGCTACAGTGCCATCACAAACACAACAACTCTGGGTTTCATTTATCAGTTTCTCCACCCACTTTAGTTAGTTACCAGTCAAGATCCAGAAACAAGTCAAAGAGTCAGAGCATCAGTACAAAATCAGCAGCCAGATTTTTACCAACAGCTTAAGGATGTCCTAACTACTGAGATACAGACCAGGTTCACAATCTGTGCACAAGGATCACCGTTTTTCTTCCTGGCTTTGCAGGTGCCCATGTCCAGAGCTTCACCCATGAGGAGGATCTTCTGGGGATGGTCAACAGACAAACACACCTAGAAAGAAATCAGAACATGCCTTGAGCAGGACTGGATGGGCTTCTCTCTATATGTCAGTGGTTTGGCTCTGGTCCAGTTTAGTACCTCTAATATTAACAATGCAGTTTTAAAATGCAGGCCTGGTTTAAGCAAGCCACATATCCTGTTCAGATTGAGTACAACCACTTGGCTCTGACACCATCATGGCAACCACATTCAGCAGTGGATGTGAAGAGGAGATGTACTAGAGCTCTGTCCCTCTCCATATGTCTAGGTCAAATCAAAACTGACTCCTGTGCAAGAAGAGTGTCTACTTCACACAACCAAAGATACTAGGAATTGTGTCTGTAGGTAAGAAGCACTTTGAAAAGTCAGTTTTAATGTAGTTCTAAATGTGTACATTTTAGCTAAGAGCCATTCTTAACAGTTAAATACAGCCTTTACAGTAAAGCTGGTATGCCTTTCTACTCACCAACAGGACTTTCTACTGCTTATTCACGTTAATTTAAGCAATTATATATCTTAATAGACCATTAATGAGATTCTTAATTTTTCCATTTGGAGAATTTAAAATGCAAAACACTACATCACCAGCTACTAGATTGAAATTCCCCTTGACAGAAGTCAGTAAAAATGGTTTCCATTCCAGTGCAGTTAAAAAGATATTAAAAAAAATTAATTCATTAGCAAAATGAAGCCACCTTAAAAGTTTTGATACATACAGAAAAGTAATTAATCATGCTCTGCATTTACAAGTAATTGACTAAACAAGGGAACTACTATGTATCAACTCACTATACATAATACATCATTTGTTTAATAAATCAAATACTGCTTCTTCTCAGTCATGATTTTGGAACCAGGAAACATTTTGCAATCACATCTCATGCTTAAATTAGAGGAGAGAAATGAGCTTCCCCACCTTTTTCAGCTTTGAGACACCTCTAGACTGAAATAGGCAGTGCACTGAAGTAGCTGAATAAACTGAAATGAAAATACACTCCCTATGTCTGTGGAAGAGCTGACTGCTACTGAGAGCAGACTAAACACATGAATAAACTCTGATTTTAGATGCTTAATAAGACTTCTTGAAGTTCAGTCTTACAGAAGGCTAGGAGCAAATACACACCACACAAATACCTGAATGCAATTCAAACTGTTCAGGCAGACTGCTGTAATTTCAGCCTTAACATGTGTTATAAAGCTAAATCTCAAGCAGATATGAAAAAGTTCAGCTGTGGGTTTTTATCTACAGGTGATGGGCAGGTGAAAAATCCTCTCACCTCATCTGAACCTTCTTTAGGTTTCATAGGATTAGCATTGAGCAGCCCAATGACGGTGCCTTGGTCTGTTTTCCAGTGTTCTTTGTGGACATCACCGAACAAGAAGAGTGAGACACACTGATTGAGATCCCGTAGGTCGTTCAGCCGCCAGATACTGAAGGTTCTGCCCTGGAACAGACATTCACTTCCTTTTCAGCTCTCTGTACAGGAACACTGACTGCATCCCCTCTTGCTGTTGCTTTTAAAGAGTTAATCTGATTTCCCCCCCACCTTGGGTTTCCTGATTTAGAAAAGCACAATTTGTAACCTCAGTAGAGGTTAGATACAGTATCTCCAGCCATGCCACACAGCCAATTCTGGGATTCTTAAAGGCCAAAATAGCACAATAATACTGCTACCACCAATCTTACTGATATTAAAGCTGGACAGCGCTCTTGCCTGCTGAATAAAATGGTTTTTACCCCACTGAACAAACAAAACCAAGGCATATCCAGATCTCTGTTTTGTCAGTTACTTACTTTCTATAGGACATGTACATCATCTAGGACAGAATGGCCTCTAGGGAAATGATAGAAGCAGGATGCGTTGGCACAGTTAAAACAAGAGGGCTGTCTAGAAAGACTGAGAGTCACAGTCCTTTTTTTCGCACTGGCATTTAACACGTAACAGTGGATGAACAGATTTAGGACAGATTGATGGTATGGTTACATTAGCCAATGCCACTGTCTGGGACAGTTGCACCAGATAAGCTAAGGACTTACCCTGAGGACTAAAAGCAGCACTACTGCATGAAACCAGATGAGTCAAGATCTTTAACATAGTAGCTTTTCATTAACTACCTGGAGTTGGCTGATTAAGTTGAAGACCTAATTAGTTTCTCAGGAAAGACAACCAGCATTTCACTTGAACTGAGCAAGGGATACAATGAAGTTACTTACATTATTTGCACTCTGAGGAGTGACCTTCTTCACTATGACTCCAAATGTCACCCAGTCTATTTCCTCCAGATTTTCTGCAGCAAGTTTGCTCTTCAGTTGGGACAGTCGGATGAGCTTCCGGTTAGCCATTTTTCTGTCCATTTCAGCCGAAGACACCCGGGGTTTTCTAGATCGAGCAAAAGCATGTAAAAGAGAACACATCCATTGGCATAAATGGACGATCGGAACCATCCAGCATCCTCCTGAGGAGACTATGTCTTGCTGCAAAATACCTCTGTGCCTTGTTTCACCCTGAGTTCACTTGAAACAAAACCCCTCAGGACATGGTACGAATATCAGAAAGCTACTGATCATGCTGCGTTTTTGTCCGAATAGCTGCACTGCAACTTAGCCCTGAGCCTGCATTAACTCTGCTCATTTCAGGAAGGACTGAGTATCACGAGTGTCTGAGCAAGGTTTGGAAATCCAGCATGGTTTCTGGTGAGGAAAGACACCGTGAGTATTCAGAGACCTCTTGTGGCCACATCGAGTATGGGGATCACGAGTGTCCCCCAAGGCTTCTCAGCGTGGAGCAAAATCTGCTCAATTGGAGCACAATTGGACATTGCACATGGCCACTGCTTCCCTCCTTCACCACTGAGAACATCCCAGGGAAGGCAGTGCTAATAAAATGATAGCTTTTTTTGTTAGAAAAGAGCAAAAATGAAAGTAGAAATGTAATACCAAAAGTCAGTTACCTATTTACCAATCAAACAGCCAATGCTGTGGCTTTGTGTTACATCCCTTAATGACAATTGACTATCTGACATGGTTAAATGATGTATAAATAGCAAATCAGAAATCCAGTCCCCTGCTCACTACTTGTGTGACTAGCATCACAGGACACTGGACAGATTGTGCTTTCTCTCTCATTACTGGAGGGTCATGACCTCAGACAGAGCTCAGTGCTGGGCTGCTGACCTTAATCTCAGTCCCGAGAAGGTTTCCACAGACACTGGCTGAGTTGTTGCACTGGAGCATGTAGGCATGTGAGGAGTCTTCTCTCTGGTCACCTTACTGGGTGTGTTCCCTGCGGCAGACTTGAGAGGTTGGAATGCCAGACTGAGGACTTGCTGAGGAGGAGGAGTCTTGTTCTCTTTAGCAGGAAAAAAAAGGCAAGAAAAAAATCTTGATAATGAAAGAAAATTTTCAGATAAAAACAACACTAACTTGCACGTGACCAGAAACAGGAGTCTATATAATGCACTTGAGAACAAGGTGTAAAACTGTCCTATCTGTCCAGACTGGTCTCCCAGTCAGCTAGGAACCAACTGACAGCTCCAGATCAGTCACATGTAACTCAGGCAATGACTTCTGCCTGCTGAGGAGCTTCCCAGAGCAGCTCTCATTTTCCAGGCAAGCTAAATTGTAGGATACACAGATGCAAGCTAGACTGCTATCAGTGTCCAAATTAATCATAGCAGTACAGAGAATAGCACTCATTGCAAAGAATACAGTAATTAACTCTGTAATAAGCTCCATTCTGCTGTGACCAGACTGCTACTGGTGCACTGACTAGTGTAAAACTATCCTGGATGTGTCTACACTGCTGCTGTGAACTAGATAGGCACTTGACAAAAGCCCAGTGTGTTTCAGTGAAAGGCAGACTGGGAACAGTACCTGCTGAGGATGCTTTTGATTTCTGGATTCCTTGTTTGGCTGGCGGTAAAGGATTGCCCAGCTGGGCTGAGAAACATGGTGACTCTTGCAGCTTCTGAACTTTCCTTTCCTTTAAGGGTGGACAGGGAGATTTACCTGGCCAAGAAAACAAAAAAAATATTTAAGAGATCTCAGGATCTGGGCTCAAACACTAAGAACTGCTCCAAAATAAGTAATTCCCCGATTAACAAGCCCAAGTCAGGGTCCCACATGGAAACCCTTCAGCTAAGTTGCCAGCATCTGAAATGCAACAGCTGGAAAAGCCCCAATGACTCTTCCCCATGACGACCTAAAACTCTGGATGTCACTGAAATCACAAAGCTGTGGAAAGTAGGAGCATCCCCTTGCTTTTCAATTTTCCAATATAATTTTGTTACTACACCCGACATGCTACAGCAACTAACACTGCTGTATTTTCTGGGTGTGCCAACATCTGCCAGTAAGAAGGAACACTTCCAGCAGAAGACTCTGGAGCTCTTCAGTCATGAAAGCTGCCCCATGTAGAATCAACCCATGATGTAGGTACCAAAACCGTAGCTCACTGATTTAGTCTGTAGCTGCAGGAAACAAACTGTGTGGGAATACACCAGACCACCATTCCTCCTTGCTACTCAGTGCCCACTTTAGGATTATCTGGAGTCTTGCCTATAAATTGCACATTGGTAGGCCAACAAATCATAAACCCATTTAATTAGTCTCATTACCAGGGGTTTTCTTCTCAGGGCCTGAACTGGATTGCTGCCCAATAGCAGTCTTTTGCAACTGCTCCTGTAATGTCTTCATTTGTTCTTGCAATTTTCTCAGCTCAGCTAGGAAAGAGAGGAGAAGAAAAAGGATAATAATGAAGACAGCAGGAAGCCATTGCAAACAGGGATTTATGAGATCCCTGGAAGTCTGGCAGTTTTACTACATCATAGGAACTTAGAAAACAAAGACTAGAGCCACAATACAGATTTACTTGAGTCTACATAGCTCACTGTGAAGGGACACTTTTTCATACAGCCTGGAGCTGACTTCTCTCATATAAATATTTTACTTGACCATGGTATGTTCCTTGCCATGTTGCATGTATCTTTCCTACTGAACATAAGACAATTTAAATGGTTGATGATTGCACTCCTTAACATAAAGAAATGCTTCTGATATAATCAAATATCTGGCCTGGACACAGGAAAGCTTAGTGGCCAGCTCTGCTTCCGCACTGACCAGTATGGCAGAACCTCTTGCCAGCAAGTCCTGAGGGGGAAGGGAATGCTGTACTGGTGAAAGATAGCAGGATGACAGCCCTGAAGACTGAAGCAACATTGGTTTTCACCAGAGAAGGCAGAGGTACATAGGCAACCTTCTCTGTCCTGCTCAGCAGAGCTAGTTTAGTGTCCTTGGCTTACTTCAGTCCTCTGACTTTCTTTGGGGAAAATAGATTTGGTGAGTTCGGCCACTGAGCGCTGAAAACTGGACTTAGAAACTTTCACAAGGACTTTCTGTATTCCCCCTCCAGGCACCATCCTAAAGTGAGAAGCAGCAGACCCTACCTTCTGCCCATTAGCTCTCTAGAGACAAGATATATATCACAAATCAGATAAAAGATGCTGTTACAGAAACCTTGCAGTTCTTGGTTGGTCTTCTCTTTTGCCTGACTGGGAGCTGAAGCGGGGACAGTTTCTTCTGCATCCTCCTCTTCCAGCAGGTCATCCACATCTCCAAACAGCATAGCCAGGTTCTCCTTCTGCTCATCGATCATGCTGTCCTCAGCATCAACCTCCTCAGTGTAGGATGCATCGTCTTCTGCATCGAAGAGCTCATCGTATTCATCTGGTTCTCCCCTCTCATCTTCTGAGGCATCTTCCTTCCCAGGAGAATTCTTCTCAGTTGTCTCGCTTTCTTCCAGGAGGGAGGCCAACAGATCCAAGTCATCATCAGCTAAGGCAAAAATTAAACTCAGCATTATTTCCGTCCAGTTAGAGGAAAGCTGCCATGGAATAAAACATCCAAGATACTGTAATCACAAACTAATGACAACCGAAACTAAATTGGAGAAGCTAGTGGCATTTTTAAAAAACTACTTCAGCTTCAGCTAAAGGAAGATAGAGCAGCCTCCTGCAATGTGGACAGCAATGTGGCTGCAGACACTCTCAGCTTGCAATCCAGGCTGGCTGGTAGGCAGAAAACTTGCAGACTACTTAGCGCTGCCTTTTCCTCCTATGCAACTGCTTGCACAATAGCTGCTGTTACAAAGAAAAGCCTTGGGACCTGCAAAGGTGTAGCCAGGAGCTCTACAGACACCTATGTGGCTTTTGCCAATGGAAGGTGAAGAGGAAGATGCAAGGCAGGCAAGAAAGCATATTCTCAGATATGGTTTGCTCAAAGATGAGAATACAGAGCAAAGAAATATGGACCAAAGGGACAAATAATGAAAAAAAGAAAATATAGAGAGAGGAATGGGAGATAAAGCAGAACTGAAGTTCAGAACAAAACAAGAAATCTGTTTAGCCTTTGCTGCTGAAGAAAACACAAAGCCTGGGAAAGGATAGAGCAGCCTCACAGAAAGGTGACAACAATGAAGGCAAGGGGCAACCTCAAAGACCTCCTCAAGTGAAGTCAGTGCAACATAATTTCCTTTGCTAAAAGTTTTATCAAGCTTTCTGAACACTTATTAACTAAAGTGTTAATATGACTAACTAACATATTAGTCAGAAGACAACTTTCCTACTGGAAGTAAAGGAGTACTTTCCCCCTTACCGTCCATGATTCCACCAGGATTTCTTCAAGAGCCCCTCAAGGAAAAAAATTCTCTGTTATGGGAAGAACATTGACAGTGTTAAAATGGCTATATCTTAACTAGAAATACAAGTTGTGTTCAGGCTTCTTATTTGATGATTTGCAAACCACCAGCTTGTTTTTGTTTGCAGCTGCAGATGAGGACTCCACTAAATTTAAAATCCCCACATTCAGTGGTGGGGATATGCTGAACTCACCGCAGCATAAGGGCATTACTTTTAGAAAAAAGCCCTAAGAGACACAGATTTTAAGAAATGCCTACCATGTTCTTCTAGTAATAACCGTTTCCATCTCATCAGTCCTGCACTATAATTATAATTAGCACTTAACTCAAGCAAATCTTCTGAAAAGGATTCAGTCTTCATTTGAAAATGGAAGAAGGTAGCAGGGTTTCGCTGTCTCCTCAAAACAACACAGTTCTTAAAAGCATACATTCCTCATTTCTCACAGCTCCTCCACGGAAACACATCCATGAAAAATAAGCAGCACAGGCGGACATAAATGGTCAAGGGAAGACTGTATAACAAGAAGAGAAATCCACTGGGGATGGATTACTCACAGACCCAAACTCTAACTCTGCGCTTACGGGTTTTCCTGCTGCAGGAACTTTTGTTTCACCCGTAAACTCCACTTCCAACAGTTCTCTCTTTTCTCTTGCTCCGGAATATTAACTTCCAGCGAAGAACGAAACAAAACTCAAGAGCACACAGGAGCAGGCGTGGCTAGTGACCACCACGCTGCCCCGGGGTCCTGCCGGGGCCCCCCCGGCGGGCCGGGGGGGGTCCCCCCGCCATCTCCCCCTGCCTCTCTCCCAACGGCCAGCCCCCCTCGGCCGTGCCGTGCCCGCCGCCCCCCCTCTCCCCACGGACCACAGCAGCCGCAGGACCGCCATCCCCGCTCCCGGTGGATCCCCCCTCCAGGGGAATCCTCCTTCCCCTCACGGCTCCCCTCCCCGCTCGGCCGCCTTCCCCCACCCAGGGGAACCCCGACCTCCTCCAGGGCTTCCCCGTGGATCTCCGATCCCTCACCCCGGCCTCTATCCCGCCGGGGATCGCTTTCTGGGCTCCCGCACCCCCGATCCCCCGCTCCCCCCAGCCCTTCCCTCACACAGCCCCGCTCACCATCAGCCGCGCGCTCGCCGGCACCCGCCAAAACTTCAACCCGGCCCCGCCCTCCCCTCCCGCGCATGCGCAGCTCCGCATCGTTCGTCCTGGCAGCGGGCGGCGCCGTCCGCCGCCATCTTGGTTGTGGGCGAGCGCTGGCGGGGGTGGGTGAGGGGGGATGCGGGTGCCCGATGGGGTTTGGGCTAAGGTCGGGGGGAGAGGCGATGGCGGTGTAGGGAGGAGCTGCAGCGCTGAGCGAGGTGATGGGTATGAGGATGACGGCGTCACGGCGTCGTTACACGTCTCGGTGGAGCTGCGTGAGGTGTGGTGGCCTGCCCTCAGGGGTAGCCCTATGGTGTGAGGCCTGGGTCCCCACAGCTCTGGGTTGGCCCTGGGTGAGCTCGCCTTAGTTGTGCATCCCTGCCTGTGTCTGGTCAGAGTGGCCTCTGGGAGTGGGTATGGCAGGCGGCATAGTCATCTGAATAACCTAAATAATCTCAGCAGGTGTGTTAAGCCAGCAAATTCAAACCCAGGTATCGTTGTGTGCAGTTGACAGGATTTTGTAGTCCAGTTCAGTATTTCTTTGGTACAAGCAATTATGATTCTGTGAAAAAGAATATTTCTGAATATGTACAAACTCATTGCTCTAGTCCTTTTTTCCTTGCATCAATTATATGCAGAAATTGCCCTCGAAACAGAAGGATTTGAGCTCAGATCCCAATGCTCTTGCACTAAATCCACCCTGCAAGATGATACACAAAGGAAGAGAGGATGTCTCTGGTATTTAAAGGCCAGCAGTACCAGTACTGGGTGAGGCAAGAAGAACTGAGGACAAATTCTCTGGTAGCTGCAGGAATCAAGAAGTTCCAGCAGCTGGCAGGAAAAAACTCAAGAGAAATGCCCCACTGAGCAGTTGAAATGCTCTGCTGAATAGTTGTAAACCAAGCTGTCCAGTGCGTGTCACGTTAGACTCTCTTGTTTTCAGGTTTTTGCCCGAAAACCAGATGCCTAGCCCAGGCATGCTGGGCTAACTCATTCTGGATGCATTGGCCTGCGTGGTGTTCATGCAAAGGTGTTTCTGGGGAGATGGAGCAATGAATAACACCAGGAGCTGGGGAGGAGTGTGTGGGTGCTGAGGGCCCAAAGAGGCTCCTCTGTATTGCTGCTTATCCACAATGGAAGCAGGGAAACACTTTGTGCCCCATCTTGGCATGGGTGCAAATCCGTGGGGAGGCTTCAGCACACCATATTTTTCATATTTTCCCTCCCTCTGGCTGCTAATTGCCAGTGTGATCCAGGCTAATCACAGAGCATCACCAAGTCCTCCTCCTCGCCATCTAACTGGAGTAATGTTGGCTTGCTTGCTCCTGTGACCTGAAGTCTGCAAATCCAGAGATAACCTTCCTGCTCACAAATCTGACGCCCACCCCATGGGACTGTTCTGGCCCCTTCCCAGTCTGGATTTTAAATCTGAAGTGGAATGAAATGCTTCTGGCTCCTGTTCCACATCAAATCAGGGTACTGATTGTGGAACAAACTACTACACCAGGAATGACCTTTGTTAAAGACAGTGATATGGGGACAGGTAGTATTTCATGGACACGTAGCATCTAGTCACTTTAAAACACAAATACATTTTATCTTATCTTTCATCTAAAGGAAAACAAAGGGGATGTACTCTTAAACCTGTGCTAATGAGCATCTGCTGGCCGTTGTGATAGCATATCTGTCCTCTGGACTGCAGTTAATGGTGACAACAACAGACAAGTAATCCTCCCTGTTGTATGAACAGGTTTCAGTGTATTGTGGTTTTATTCTTTGCAGTTCCTTGTCCCTCCTGATTTGCACTATTATACCTAGTATCTTGTCTTTCTATGAAGACCTACTTCAGCTAATCCCTGTCTTCCTGTTAGTATTCCTGTGCTAAGATCCCTTCTCTTTCTGACGCCTCTTAAAATGATTAATTTTGACATGACGGATGCACAAGTAATTCCTCCTTTGGCCTTTCACATTGATTTTCTGTGTTTTCATTAAGGTTAATGCTCCTCAGATGAAATCAGCTCTATTATCATTCTATTAGTTTGATTTTGGCCTAGTAGCGTTTCCATCAGATTTAGATCATTGCAGAATCCATAACTATCACAAAGCTCCCGTAATAAAATTGGATTCAGGGAAAAAAGCACATAAATCCTACTGTCACAAGGAACCAATTAAAAGCCAATAAGAGATTGCGTCTGCTGGGAGTACTTGTAATTGATGAAGAAGGTTGCAACCAAGCTGATGAATACCTCCGCACAACAGATTTCAGTTAGCTCTTGTGTTACCTCAAATTACAGATGAAGCTGTGTGAGAGAACATGAGCTGTAGCTAACAGAAAACAAGAATCCAGGGTCTATAAGAGATAATTAGAACAACAGTGACAACCAGCAAATTAAAAGCAACTCCTCACTTTAATTACAGGGGCAAAAAAGTGATTGTTTCTCCTGGTATTAGAAGGTGAGGTCTCACTGATAGCATGACATGAAACATACACTGAAGGAAGATTTTCTTTGGCCCAAGAAACATCAGGTATTTTTCTTGCGTACATTTTAAGAATATTCATCTGCTGAGAGTGAAACATAAATCTTACGCTATTGAGGCCTTTGTTTTGAATTAATCAGCTCTAGAATAGTTTCTATTTCAGGTTTGAAGCAGAATATTGAGTAAAATACTAAGTCACCAAGCTTTTTATTTCTAAATCCACTATTGATCTGTTCAGTGTGTTTTCTCCTCAGTGATTTGGATCTTCATCCACAGGACAATTTGAAGAAGCACTTATTTATGGAAGTAGGTTGACAGGAGAATTTGTCACATACAAGTACAAAATATCTGCTATAACTCTGCCCATTCAGTTGTGGTATCGAAGATCCCTAAGGCTTTCTCCTGCAGAATTGTTCCATTCTCCTTAGCTCAACATCACAAGATGACGTAAGTTATATATATAAATTTCACTGCACAAGCATCTCTCTCACAGGTTGTACCATCCTTTTAATGTTCAGAACTTCAGAGTACAGAAGCATGTTGATCAGCCACGTGTGACCTGATCTTTACCTTCATTTGGAGGAAAAGCATTCCCGCCCCCATACCTGAAAAGCTGTGCTGCTTTCCATCAGCCATTGCTGATGGACAACACAAGCACTTGGACTCTGTATTATGCCTTGACTTCTTTTCCTTGAGAATGGTCTGCATGACCTTGTCTGAAGATGGGGGCCCAGTGGGGTTTTCCATGTACCCTATTATGCTAGAACAGCCATCCCCAAACCAGAACCCCTCTTCCAGGTGCATGAGTATGCCCTTTCTCCTCACCAGTCAAAGCACTGAGCTGCGATCTTCTCATAGACCCCATGAGCGCAGTGGAGAGAGGACTAACAATGACAAAAATGGATGATGCTTTTAGCTAATCTCTCTTAAAATTGGAATCCCGTGTTTCTGGAAGTGAAACACCCCCATGAAATAAGTTGGCAATAAAGGCCATGGACCGGTTGCTGTTGTCAGAGAGCATAGTCTCTCATTTCTTATGGACAGATGACACGGCTCTTAAGCCACGTCAGGGCGGGTGAGCACATGGCTCCTTCACATATGCAACACTCCAGTGAGGGTGTTGGATGTTTGAACACTGAGTCCTAACTCCCTGGTGTAGTGCTTGTGGGGAAGGGACTGTCCTTTTGTAGCTCAGCACTGACAATTGCTTTCTCCGTTTCTGGTGTACGTGGAAACTGAGAAACCCCAGATTTTAGGACTAAACCCATTGCTAATTGTAGCCATATCATAATGTGTCCTGACATTTAAGACCTTTCAAGATATATATTCTGACTGAATTATATTACGTGATTATCTGCGTAACAGGTATGGAAGTAGCTGTACTTTTCAAATGAAGAAAAAATGGCATTGATGGAGACCTGTTAAGTCCTGAACTCACCTCACTCTGTCCCACCTCCTTTGTCCCTCCCCTGATTTACTAAATCTAATGCTATTTCCCATAACTCCCGCAATGGGGCACAGTAAATACTGTCATCATAGCTGTCAGTCTTCTGTTCAGAAATTCCCACTTCGGACTACTTGAGGCTCAGCTGGTGAATAAATGTTACAATGGTCTTTTACCCCGATTTAGTATGATCTGAGTAGAATGCATGCCCTTTCTATTAAATAAACTTTTAAACTGTTTTATTAGACTAATGCTGAAAAGCTAGCATTTTGATCAGACTGCACAGTAGTAGCAGTTTATGACTGTAGCACTATCCTAATGAAGCTGGACACATAAAGGAAGTCAATCACTTTCACTCACACCAGTTCTGTGGGAAGCTTATGGTCCACACAGTCCTTCAGGGGGAGTTTAGGTGACTGTCTCCACAAAAGACATTTCCCTCATCTTTTCCCTTCTGCTCGTTTCTTTCTGCATTAGGAATATGCAATTGCCTAAAATCCAGAGACACAAATTCCTGCTTGTTTGCCTTTATTCTGAATAACTTTTTCACTGATGAGTCCCTCAGATAAGCACACCCAATGGTTAGAGTAAGGTTTGGGGATCAGAGCACCCTGCTTTTTGTTAAAGCCATTACAACTGTACAAGCAAAAACTACAATTGCATTTTGTTATAGTTTTGCCCTTTACATAAACCTACTCCGCTATTAGGTGCTTTAGTTATAAACGCAGTTTCTCTTGCATTTTATCTTCTAGAGATCCAAGCATTCCTACAGATCACACTGCCTATATATGAAGGAGGACTTAGGCTTCCTAACTCTGGCAACCCAACACCTCTGAGACCAGCGCACTGTAATGTCAAATCAGGAAACATTCAGGCTTATTATAATGTCAACTTTGAAGTGGAAGGGTGAGCCAAGAAGTAATAAAGTGATATTAAAAATAAAATGTTGAACTTTTATATTCAGGTTGTGTGATCATCCCACCCTGCTCCTTCTGAACACCCAGCTCACAATTCTGGCAATCAGAATGAAGTGGACTGGGCACAAACGAACCTTGCTGGTGCCTCTCGGTAAGCCTAACAGACCTACCCCAGGACAAGATGGCACAGATTTAAGTACTGGATTGTAATGAGTCCTGGCATATTTGCTTCCAGAAATTCAGTCTTGAACAGTGGAGGAAAAAAATAAAAATCTTTCCCTACACCACAGTTGGCAGATCAGTCCAAAACCACTCGGAGACTTCCTTTCAACTGGGCAGTGCCAAAGTGACCAACACTTCTGTTTTTTCAGGAGGAAAATGATGCCATAATGAGGCACCATTGTGGCTGAAGGTTTTCATGCATCTCTTACTTCCCTTCCCTGCCAATTTCCAACAGTGCAAATGTTAGCTGTTTGCAAAAGACATGAAACTCCTCATTTGCATGGATCCCAGTCATTTCCTGCCGTTCATGCTGGTTCATGTGTTGTTAAGAGTTGTGACTTTTCCTCCCTCATGCAATGGCAAGTTAAGAACTGTTTTTTTGTTGACATAAAAACACCAGGGAGGACAAGAACAGAACTAATACACTACACTTCTTTCTACGTGAGCTTTTCAGCCATAGGTATTTGCAGTCCTGTTTCAGCCTCCAAAGTATTCACGGGCATAGATAATTTTACACTTGCAATAGATTTATTTTGAGATGTGAAAATCCACTATACTCCTCTTTTTAAATTAGGTTACATCCATCTCAGCGCTTTCTAGCACAATACTGTACAGGTTCAAGTGAATTTATTATAATAAAGAAGAATCAAGACAACACCTTAAAAAGGAACAGTTCTATAAAACCAAGTGACTTGGGTACACCAGGAGCTACATATATCAGACCTAAATGATCTGTTTTAAACCTTACCCACATCTGGCTAAAGCAAGAAGTTACATAAGCCATCAAAAATTTAACATCAGATTAGTATGGTCACAAGGGCAGCAATAAAACTGCCATCTGGAGAAAGAGCAGGGTTCATTTCAAATGCTCGATGAATACAGCACTATTCCATTTTGCTGAAAGCTTCTCAAACAGCTTTTTTAATGTATTAATTTTCTGGTACACAGTATATGAGAGATGAAGTATTTACAGGCTCACAGTACTTTTAATTGATCAGCATATATCCCATCTCCCTTCCGACTTCAGTGATTCAGTCCTGTTCTGCAGGCTAGCCATAAGAGCAGAGCACATCAGGGGAATGTTCCTTAAAGATTTCATAGCAGCAGACACACTGGGAGTTCTTTAATGCATCCATATTGTTATCCTATAAAAATTCTTTTCCTAAAGCAGATTACAACAAGATTAGTGAGTACAGGGCAGGATAGGAGTTTTACCCTCTTCCCATTGAATTAATGAGAAAAACCCTGAAAGCCTCCTTCACGGGTTGTAGAGTTGAGCGTTATTTCAGCAGGAAGAAAAAAAAAAATATGTGTTTGGCAGGTGAAATTTCAGAAGATGAAGAATTGGAGGGCATCACTCAATTAATGCAATCCATAACATGAATCTGCAGTGTGTCCAAATCAGGTAGAATTTCTTCACATTTGGGACATGAATACATTGAGATATTCCGCTGCTCTGGCCAGTCTTGACTACCAGTTCCTGCAAGCAGAGAAGATAAATGATTACCTGTTATATTACTTGATTTTGCCACTCTTTTTGTAGAGTGATTGAAAGAGGACTGGCTTGCTCCTAACAGCCAAAGAATCATGTTCTCTGCAGCTACCCAGGTGCCAGAATAGCCACAGGGGAGCTGGGGAGCTGCTTGCAGCCAAGCAAAGCTGTTTTAAACTGAACACAGCAGGGCCTGGCCCCGTGAGCTGGAGAGGTTGCTTACGGTACCTCTTTGGACAAGGCGAGGTGAGTGTTCCCGATCTGGTGCCCTCGCTCCGTGGCGATTCTGCATCTCCGCCAAAGAGTTACTGTGGAGGATAAATAAGTCAAGGGCTCTGAAAAAAGCCTCAGTAAAAGGTATCTTCCCATTGTCCCCAGAAAAGGTAAAAGGATTCAAAATAAATCAAAGGATTTGCAAGTAAATCATGTCAACTGGTCATGAATTTAGTTCACTGCTGCTCAGAAACAGGACCTAGAAATGCTGCTGCTTTGTGAGATCGTGCCAAGGTCCTGCTGAAATCAGGGTCATACAACTAACACCAGCAGGATTTGGGCAGCTACACACCTAGGGATCTGGGGCACACTCCTCTGGAAAACTCCAGGACTCTCAGCTATTCAGGGCAAACTGCAAATTTGATTAAAGTAGAAAGGCAAGTTATACCAGAGAAAGGGTTCAGTGTACAGTTGATGTGAAATGTGACTCGATTCTTCAAATTCTGGGCACTCTTCTTGTACCCATGGCTTCCACAATATGAGTGGAGGACACAAGGTTAGTATTTCTTTTTTCTCTTTTACAGGTAGGAGTGCTAAACTGGTGCAATTCCAGGGTATCACAGCACTTGAAACTATGGGTACTTACTTACCACTGCCACCTGGAGAAGCAGCAGATATCCCTGGCACACATGCAGCAAGCTTAGCTGCATATTCACCACTAAAATTGAGGCCAAACCCCAAAGAAACTCACATGAATCCACGGGGAGAATTTACCAAGCATGAATCATCCAAAGTGAAAACTTGCTAAAGCACCCAAGTAAGAACTAACACACATTACAGAGATTCTATCACAAAATTAAAAAGAGAAGTCAGCCAATTCATTTTTTTTTCTCTTTTAAAATTCAAATCAACCAAGAAATAAATGTCTGCAAAGTTGTCTGTCTTTCTACTGAGATGCTAGCAAGACAGTGTAGGTCAACTCCAGCACTCAGCATAACAAGACAGTCCAAAGGCAGCTCAGCCAAAGTCTGTTCTCACCGGCCAAGATCTTCAAGGTTTTGCTGCTCTTTTAGCAGGTATGCCAGCTGGACAGCCAACTGCTCCTTCTCCTCATGGATCTTCTCTCTTGCTGCCCTCTCAGCATGGAAATCAGAACAATAAACTTCCATCTGATCAGAGAAATGAAATCATGCTAAGAATTTGTAACTTAGACTGAACCATAGTCATGTATTATATGCCAAAATAACAAATCTGTATCATAGGCTCCATCTACTCAAAACACTCTCACAGCACCTACACACTGCAAAGCGAAGACCTGCACTACTTACAAGGTGAAGAAGACTCAGTAGTTTCTGGATTCTGTATGATATTTCAATTGTCTTATCTGGGACAGTGCTATTGCCCTCTGCTGTACAGAGGCAGAAATGAGGCACAGAATAGCACTGAGGAGGTGACATGACCAATCGCACAGACAGATCTGTGGCACAGACAGCGGAACCGGGCCAAGTTGCCAGTTCTGTGCCTTAAATGTGAGGCAGACCCTTTTTAGTCACTGCTTACACCACTGGTTTGAGTAAAATCACCCCTAAAACATATGCAGTGATTCTTAAGACAGTGGTTTTAAATACACAAACACATCTATTCCCAACTTTTGTTTGTTGTGCCAGACTCCAGCATACACAGTTCCTCCTACAGAACCATAGGAAATGGTAGTAAAGGCTCCGTAGGGATCTGCAAGGCAGGCCGAGTAAGGGAATTATGCTTTGGAATTGAGGAAATGTATTCAGTACTGAAGAGCAAGCCATTAAAAACCTCCTTCTGGTTTCTGAATATTGGGTGGGGGAACTAGCCAAATTCTGAAGAAGAGCTGATACCTGAGCACGGAGCACAGCCATTGTTTCAAGGTCCTCCTCTTGCTTAGCAATCATCTGCTTCATTTCATCTATCTGGAGCTGCTTTGCAGCAAGGGCTTGTTCTGCCAACTCTACCTTTGCATTCAGTTGTTCCACCACAACTTTATCCACTCTGTCCAGCTGCAAGGAAGAACTATGATTATGAGATGAACACAGAATACAACTCTGCTTGAAGTGAAAGGTTTCTTCTTACTCCTCCTGCCCTTGGAAAAGCTTCCAATTTTGGTCATCAAAGGAACTTGGACTAAGACAGCAGTGGTGATTGATATTTTATTTTAAAGATTAGTTTTGAGCTTTCAAATTACATTGTATCAAGTTAAAAGAGAACTCCCTAATGGACACTGCAAATTATGTTTCCCCACTTTCCAAAATTATACAGAAGAATCTGGCACTTCCATGGAGTCTCAGTTATGAACAAGGCCTCACTGTGGTGGGCATTCTATTTAAGATTACAAAAATGTCTAGAGGTCTGCCTTCGCACATTTACAAATTATGCTGCAGGAACACCTATATATGCCTTTGCGTATCACTGATCTCTAAGGACTGCACTCCATATGGCACTGCAGATTAGACCTTATCTAGAAAACACCATGGCAATACTGATGTGTGGATAAAGTTTTCTATAATTGACAGCACAGGATATATGTTTATCAGCGCAATGCTGCTATGTTGCATGCTGTATTATGTGGAAGGGACAACTGTTTCCTGCCCAAATTTGTTCCTGGATACAATCTCCCATCCCTTCCCACTTCCCCCTAATTAATTATGATTTCTTCTTGTGATGAGTTTACCTCTTTGAGTTTCATTTCATCGATTCTTTTCATTGCCTCAGTGAGCTCAGGAACGAGTTTGCTGTATGCATCCTGCAAGCTACTATATCTTGCCCTGTTTATGACAAGAAAAGAGGTGAAAGTTTGAAACACTTAAAATTTCTTTGAAATCTAAATAATCTGTTAGAATTTAGAAAAAAGCCACCACCAGCTCCTTGCAAATGAAACTGCATTTCTAATGAGAAAAAAATCACGCTCTGTGTCTCAACATCTCTCTTCCAATGAGTTCTGTGCTGCTCTATCCATGGACTAAGTCCAAACAAATGTCCTTACTGATCGTCTGCATTTGATATTGAAGAATCCATCATGCAATATTTTTATATCAAGCTCACAAATTCTGTTCAAAATGTAACACCTCTCTTAGGAAGACATCCAAGCCTTGACTCAGATACTTCAAGAGAATGAGAATTCATCAGGAGACAGACTCCAAAGATAATGAGCAGCTTCTCCAGCAGCTATGACAAGTCCTTCAGGAAGTTCAGCCTCTCTGTACAGCTTGGACTGACATTTGCACACTCCTTACATGGACTGCACATGATGACAGGGAGCAGGGAACCAGAGCAAACAGTGAGTCTCTTCACCTCAGCTTCACTGCACACTTACCTCTCCTAGTTGCAAATGTAGTGAGGGACTGCAGACCTCTTCATTAATGTCACTTTCCCATCATTGTCACCACCTGACTTGTCCCTGCCCTCTGAGATGTGGATGCATTTACCCCTGCTAGTCAGTGGGACAGCTGATGTCACTTTCCTGCTTCCTCTACCTGTATGTTATACCTGACCCTATTCCACCTTTGACTTCATGACAAAAGGAAGATACAAGTCAGAGCTTACAGCTCAAATTTTCCTAAGTGAGGGCTTCAGTAGATGAAAGAATACAGTTTGGGCCTAATGTGGAGACTCCAGATTCAAAATAACATAGACACTGAGGTGAATGCAGGTTTCTAGTTCAGACTCTACAAACATAACATGGTTTCAAAGGGTGCAGAACACAAAACAGTATTTCAGATTCAATTCCCCTTTGGCCAGGTTCCCTTGGACTTCCCTTCCTCACTGACAATACCTCCCTGGAATATAAAATCAAGTCATACTCACTTTTCTTCATGTGTCTTGGCTTGTTCCAGCTTGACCTCTGCCTGCATGCTCTCCACCTGAAGTTCCAGCTTCTTGATGGTGTATATTAGCTGCTGCTTCTCCTCCAATTCCGATGCAGCAGCTGAGCTTTTTCTTTCCAGGCCTTGGCACCTGACAGAACAAGGAAAAAAGGTTATCTCTCCTGTTCATCTTTTCCTGGTGGATTGGGCACACTAGGCATATTACAAAAAGAATCTTTGTGTGGTTCACTTTAAAGGCTTATTTTGATGAAGAACAAGGAAAGACAAAAAGGAATCTATACACAAACATCAGAAAACAAAGCTGCTGAAACCAACACTCACTTTCTTACTATTATGAATCTCAAAGAACTGGAATTTGACAGAAAACTAAGGAACTAAAGTGAAGGCCTTGTAACCACTTTTTATAACCTATGCAATTGGTCTTCAAAAGCACAGACAGTTCATGTGAAAAGGGTCATAACCAGGTCCCTTAGCTTCTTCCCCTAAGACTAGAACATGGATTGATTATGTGAAGTGGAAAACAGGAAATATTTGCCTTTACATCAGGAAGGGTTAAAACCCAAGTCTTAAAATTCAAGGCACTGAGGTTCTATTTGTAGAACTAGGTTGGCAGCTCAGATTTTCTGACAATTACTGTATTTCTGTACTTTCATCTCCACTTACAAAGAAGGAGCAATCTTTTACAGCATTTCTATGAAACAGGTATTTAAGTTGATATTTGTAGAGCTGGTGAGTTTCCCAAGGTGGGAGTTGACATACAAATATATGCTGGGTGTCAGAGCAGAACTTTTGTTCTTCTGAACCTTACTTTTCTTGAAGCTTCTTCTGAATCAATTCTGCTTCTTTTAACTTCTCATGGGCTTCCTGAAGCTCTTTAAACAGAGCACAAACTTGCAAATTCAGGGTTTCAACTTCACTGCCAACCTTTTAGAGAAAAAAATAAGGAAAATTACACATGGACAATTCAAGATACCCAAGCAGGAAATACCATTCTTTCTCTAGAGAAAACAGCGTAAGTCAGTATGCACTGTTACATTCTATACTCAGTAATAAGGCCCTGTCCACAAGGCTGTGCAATTACCAACTATTCCTAAATATGGCAGAACCCCATTTTGACTTAATACTTTCATAAAATCCAGGTGACTCAAAGACAACACTATTACTGACATTCCAATGTTGGCTAGAATATACCTCATGCAGATGGGAAACACGTCTACATTTTCTTTCTCAAGAGTTCACAATTTAAAACACATGAGAAAAGCAGACAGATTTAGTGATTACTGCTGCTCCTCTAAGCAGTAGTTACAGTCTGTCAAAGAAACATAAACAAATGATCTATCCCTAGGTAGGCTTCCAGTCTGCTAGCATCAGGGTGCTCTTTAGAAAGAGATGTGATGGCAGTTTTAGGTCAGAAGCAGCAGTTTGGAACTAGTAGATGAGGCAGACCAAAACCTTAGACTTTCTCCTCCCAGTTATATCCTGCAATGGCATTATCCCTTCCATTCTAGTTTGCTCCATTCTTGTTTCAGGCAGAAAGCAGAGGACACAGAAGTTTTTATGCGTTGTAATTTATTTCGATTACACACGAAACCCCTCCAGCCAACTGCCACTCTCCCTACACATACCAGCCTCTCCCACACCACACACATGAGAACCACAGGTCTGGAAGACTTTAGTTCTTGACTTTTTGAAGGAGAAAATATAACCCCAAATGGTAACTCCATTACCATGCATTCATGAATCAACTTTGCAAACCAAGATGATGATTTATAGTAAAACTGTCATCAATTTTGTTGTGTTTCTGGCCCTTTCATTTGGCCTTCAGACCACAGGAAGATCACTGAAGGATCCTAAAGACAGGCAAAAAAACAAGAGGAGGAAAGAAACAGCAGCTGGGTTCTCCTCCAACCTAAGACACAAAGGACGCCTCAGAGTTTCAGTTCTTAAAATATATCTCCACGCTCTGGAAGACGCGAAACCTTTGACTCCTGCTGGTTTGTAGTCTCTGGAGGTACATCCTGGAGCATTCCTAAAGACACCTCTGAATCTCATCATCATGCTAGCATCAGCCCAATTGACCCTAGTACTGTAATTTTCATTGATAATGTCTTATCTCATCAAACGCACAGAAAGTCTCCAGTCCAGCTTGGAATAAGCTGGGTGGCTGTGACTAAGAAGATACCAGGTGTATCAAGAGCATGCTGCTGTCCTATTTCCTTGAAGAAAAGCTCCAGTTTTCCAACAGGGGAAGTCCACCACTTCCCCAGGCAACTGAAGCAATAGAAGTTGTTCATCCATGATGACCTGTGAACATTTCCAGCTTTCATCTCAAAGCAGAAGTGTGGAACACAGCCAGTGTGACTGAGAGGCAGACAGAACACAATTGTCTACTGACAGATGTTGCTGAGGACACCCTCCACAAGCTGCCCAAGCTAATATCATTCATCAGTCGTACCAAGCAAAAGGGACTGAACATAATGGTGTAAACACTCACAAAACACATTGCACTACGCTTTTTCTATCTCAGAAGCAAAAAGAGATCATTCTTCTACCATCATAGCTGCAAAACAAGCCACAAAATTATTTTATGCAGCTATCCAACTAATCCAATCACACTCACAGATGAAAGCACTGATTTCTGTAGGGTGATGGCATTTCAATTTGCAGAAAACTAGACATCAGTAGAAATTGCCTTAACAGAAAACACGTCAACAAATGAAACCGTATACCACTGGCAAGAGTCTGACTTCTAATAAAGCTGGACTGTGAATTCCTGGTCCCTGGTGAAAGCCATCATAATTCAAGATATTTTACTTAATTGGAACACAAGCAATCCATGCTTCTGGAAAACAAGTCTGGCAGCCTTGCTGAAAGAAAAGGCTAACCTGACTAAAAAAATCCCATCCCACAGTACAGACTGTCTCTCCCCAACACCCATTTCTTACCCTGCCCAGGAAAGGAGAAACACCTAAATCATAGCCTCCTAGACCTCTTCTTCTGGGAAGCTTGCAAGCAGCCTCCCAGGGAAGGCAGAGCACTAACTGCAGTGGTGCCTTAAGATAACTCATCTCAGGAGACCTGGCTGAGGTTAGTGTCCAGCTGCCTGTTTGGTAGAGCATGTCCTCTAGCCTCTTCTCCCCCAGCCATTCCTCACTCTCCAAACAGAGCCAAAGCAGGTTTGAAAAAACTTTTCCCTCTCCCCCAGGATGTCTTCAAATGCAGAGCCCTCAAAAATAGTGCATACTGGACCCCCACATTGTTTCATTGAAGATCTACATTTTACAATATGGGGAGATAACATGAGCTTCACTGACAAGACCCTCTGAAGGAACCCAATAGCATATAAATTGAAATGACTGCCATCACAAGCATGTAACTATGCTGACCTCAATATCAGCATTTAGATGAGCATCTGGCTCAAGCTGTAACTCAAGCAAAGTTGAGATAAGTACTGGAAAGAATTAAGTGAGACATCATCTCTCTTCCTAGAAGGGACATCTCTCGGCCTCACTGCAAACTGGTCTTGTTTAACTAAGCCAGCCCTGCCCTAAAATACCTGTCCTAGCCTTCAGAAGGGCACAGGTCTCCAGCAGATCCCATAGCGTATTTGCTCGCCCCATGCAGCACCTCAGACAACCTAGACTACCTCATACACAGGCACCCTTAGTTGCCTGTATTATGCAGTTGCACTGAACCTGAATGGATCTCCACTGCTATGGGAGCTTACACGCTTACCTCACATAGAGAGGCTTGCAACTGTAGGCACGTAAATTTAGGCGTCTAAATCTGGAGCTGAATCCCAACCCCAACATCCATTCAAACCCTTAACTGAAAACAGGAGGACTGAGTTTGCCTGGAACTGTGTCTCAATCTAAGACAGTTATGCCCCACCATTGCAATACATCCTACCAAAACCATGAAAAAACCCCACGCAAATGAGCTCCGCATTTAAAGTCTGTTTTACAGTATACTGTCATTGGATTGTGATCCAAAAGCTGACCTATCCAGCAGCAAGAAAATTTACCCAGTCTAGAACTTTCTGGAGCTAGAAATGACCGCATTTGTCTCTGTTTAGTGGGCATGGCCAGGGCAATGAGGTATACCTGCAGTTACGCTATGCTTCCCTAGTTCTTGGCCACCAATCTCACCCTTTTTTGGTGGCTGATGTAATTTGGAACCACCTCTAAGATATGGATTGGAGAGTTCAAAATTCACTTTCATATACCCTGTGCAGGATAATTGCCCCTTGGTCCCTGAGTGCAAGTCGAAATCTAGGCCCTGAGGTTGTTGGCCTCAACAAGTAAGCTGTATGTTGTTAAATCTCAGCTCACGAGGACAGGTACTTACAGCCTCTGAACTCTCCTCTTCTTCCTGTTCAGTTTGTGTCCCACTGTCCAGGCAGCTGCTGGCTTCCTTCTCCAGCTTTGACAGTCTGGAAAACAGAAGGAGCCAATAATGATAGATTTGGCCTATATTTAAAGTGAGACTGTGACTGTTCAATGATTTCATGCAAGTGATGTACTCTCCTTCTAACATCACAGCCACAAATGAGAGGCAGAACTGAAAGCACAGACATGCAGGAAAGCCTGTATAATCATGGGGGTTTCTGAAGAACACAAGACACCCAGCATGTATATATAATTAAAATGGATGTATAAGTCTGCAGGTGTGGTGAAGGACAGTGACATTCAGTCCACAGTGAGCGATCTTTAGTACAGTGCACAACTGCTAACCCTTTGGAAATAGGTCAGTCTGTTCACTGAATCCAGTAATTAACAGTGCCTCTATTTTCTTTTGATATTTTCAGAGGCTGAGATTTCTAAGAATCATTTGGCTATGGCTCATTACCTCTTCTAGGAAGGCCACATAAAAGCAATTACCATGACACCAACCTTTCACAGTAGATAACGTCCTGGAAGTCTTACTCTGTCTCTGCAAAGTGGGGATTTGCAACAGCTACTGCTTAGGCAATTTTCCACACCTGAACAGTCATGCTGATTTATACCAACATAACTGAGCTGAGACATACCCTCATGCAGGTCTCACTGGAAAAGCTCTCTCTTAGACAAGTTTGGAATTAAACTTATTTTAGACATTTCTCAGGAGCTTTTCCAAGCTCACACATTGCTAAATGTAGCCTGCCAATATCACGAAGAGGACTGTAATTCCTGTTTTATACATAGTGATTTGCTTAAGGCCCCACACGCAGATGATTCATACAAAACCAAGTAACTATGGAGGAGTGAGTAGAGAGAACATCCTCAACTAGTCACCATATCATTCTGACATAACCTGGGGAAAGTTGGAACCCAAAAGGAAATGGGCAATTTGTCTGTGCTGCTATAGGAAATAATAATAAAATGTGGAAGCTCTCTTGCCCATGGAAGAGAACCTGTGGTTTATCCCTATAAGGACTACCACAAAAATAAGTTATTGTTACTGACTGCTTGGGTAATTCCCCATCCAGGTCACACTGATATTTCAGCTTGTCTCTGATCAGTCACAGACTTGGTAACTGCAGCAGCCCTGGAAGAGAACAGCTCCAAATTTTACAGTGCACCTGCTTCACACCTCTCTTTGTGATTCTGCAGCTCCTTCTCAAGTTCTTCCCTCTTCTGAGTTTCATTTCTAAGGCAGCAGAGCAAGTGGCTCACAGTTAGCTCCTCGGACTCCAAATTCTTCGATTCATCTGCAGCTTTGCTCCTGCTTGAAACAAAACCAGATGTATATAACAACAGCTATGATTTTACTAGAGCACTCCCTTATCCATAGTTCTGGGACCCGCTCTGACAGACCACCTTTTCACACGGTGCTGAAAACCAGCGTTCTGAGCAAAGGGCTCATTCCCAAGAACCAAGACCTGCCCACAAACCGCTAGCCACAGTTCCTGTGCGTGCAAATGCAGCCCTTGGTTTGCGCAGTGCTCAGACAGTCCCCATGAACCTGGGGGAACAGTTTAGTACTTAAGCAAGGAAACCAAAAGCAGTCAAGGCAATACAAAACCCAGTGCATTTATTCTAACCTACTTTGCAGCCCCTTCTGCAAAGTGCTGCTGTCTGTTCCCAAAATAACATTTTTTTCCAATGAAACACACAACATTTCTTATCTCCGTCTCATTCCTTTCCAAAAAAAGAAGGCACGTTCCACTAAAAATTGTCATCAGAAATTGCTTTCTTTTTCAGAAAAAATATCTTCAATATTTCACCTCCTTCGTATTCTATAGCTCTTTTCTACAGTAGCATAATGCAGTTTTGAAGTGAACCAAAACAAATACAAAACTACCTGAAAAACAAGGCAAGTTAATTTCCTGAGGATAAAATACTGTATACCATTCCCTCCATTTTTATGTCCATCTAGACAGAAAGTCAAAATCCCCTAACTATACAGTAAGATAGGCAGGTTAAATACACTGTACATTTCAGAAGCTCAGCTATAAAACAGCAGGTGTTTAAAACTTTGCTTTTGTAGTTCAGAACAGAAAGTAACGCATAGTCCTCTGTGAGCTCCTGAGAGCTAGAAATCTTTGGTGAGCAAAATTCAATACCCCAAAGACAGTGTTCAGCCAGGATATTTTAAGTAAATAACTTTTATCAGGGGATTTTTAGTGGACAGTTCTACTCTTACAGAAATAAACCCGTCCTGAGTGGATCACATTTCTCTGAACCTGTTAACAGCACCAGTCTAAAGTTTCAATGCTGGACAAAGACACGTGGTGACACAGAAAATATTTTAAGAGGTACATATACCCCCTGTTCTCGCAGATATGGCCCAGATACTCATCAAAAGGTAAGCAAGTCCCACAGAGAATGTCTTCTCGTAATCAGAGTGTTCTCAGAAGCCACCACTAACAACAAGCTGAATACTTGCAGCCCAGTCTGTGGTCAGCAACTCTCAGTTTCATCCGCAACCATAACTTCCTCCCCCGCCTGCCCCTTCAACTTCTTAACTGTATGCTGAGGGACCAGTTTTATATGTTATTACATTAAAAAGCCGTTCTCGCTTGCAGGGATGTAGGGAGTGACAACTTGTACATGGAGCACAGCTTTCTGGCCTGCTATGCCCTTAGCATTTTCTATATCCTTTCCTTCCAAAAGCAAAGGCCACAAAGTAAATAAGAGAGTTCAGCCACAACCATCTAGCTGCTAAATTGGGCAGTATCCAAAATGGAAAGTTTAATAGTATCAGCTGTCTATGTCCATGAGGAGTAAAGGTTCAGCTGGGGGCAAGAAAGTCCCTTGTGCCCTGGAGCTGATGTAAAGATCAAATTTTGAGAAGTAACCTAAACAGAATGCTGGTATCTTAAGCTTAGTAACCTGAAAAATAAGGACTATGTCACTGCACTGTCTTTCTACCCCACCATGATACAATTTATACCAACCACACACAAACAGAACAGACAAGGTTCAGATCTGAAAGACTACAAGACCTCTGATTCTTACTAACATCATTGTAATTGGGTAGAGGACAGATACTCTATTAGACCATCTCCAATGACTAGAAGGGAGAGACTCCCTGCAGCCTCTATCTTTATCTTTTCTGTCTAGTCTCCCTTAAAAGCCTGGAAAGTAGGCAAGTCAGCATGTACACAAATGCCTAGCCAACTGGCCAGAATATGCACTCCCTCTTGTCAGCTAGTGAAAATTGGGAAGAAAAATGCCAGAATGCTGAGGGTCTTTCTGACATGGTAGGAAGGTAGAACTACTGCAACAGAAGGATGCAAGGCCACAGAAAAACAGGGTTTTCTAGTGCATTCCTCATAGAAAAAAGTTCCCTCACATTGAAAACAAAACGCATTGCAGAAGCCTGAATTACACACATTGCACAAGAACCTACGTACATGTAGACAGCAGCATTACCGGTCATTTCACCGCTATTCTCTTGACGTTCCTTTGCAGTTCTATTTATTTCTCCTTCCTAGGAAAGGGAAAACACTATTAGCTTGGTATTTGAACTAAGCAGGACACAGTTTTTATTTACTTGAGTTAAGGAAGAAAACCAGGGAAAACTATTATCATGGCAATAAAAATAAATAAAACACAAAACTCCTACAGATCAGTTTCATGTTTGGAAATTCTTAACTTAAATACTTCACATGCCTTTCCCTGTATATCTTCCGGACTCAACAGAGAAGAGGAACAACAATGAGATTTGGCCTTCTCCTTTTGTCAGCAACTTCCATGGCCACTCTCCCCTACAAAGATGACCAGGCATCACACAGCAACAGCCAACATCCCTGCAGAGGACTTTAAAAATAAGCCTAAAACCCACTCTCCTGCCTCCCAAAAGAACCACTCTTCTTTCCCACTACAAAACTCACTCCTTGATCTTTGTAGCCCAAAGGAGAATCTTTGTAGCAAAAAAAAGGGAAAATGCATCCTTGAAGGTTTCCTGCAGTCTGAATTTTTCTTCAACAACTCCAAACAAGTTTTAATTAAATTCTCTTAATGTCTTGTTGCACTTGTACTTTCCAGAGAGGGATCTGCTATTATGGGGATAGTAGAGACCCACATTTTCACATTTTGCCTGTGAAGATTTTTCAGATACAAGAAGAGTAGAAAAATTAGATTTTTGTGCCCCTAGGGAACATTCTACAGCTTTGCACTTAGTTTTCTTTGCCTGCATCTCTACATATCTGTCAGTAGAAAGTGAGCCCCATTCTCAAAAGAAAATGCCCCCCTCTATGCATAGGTGTTGCCCCTTAACAAAACATAGTACCAACTTTCCCAAGAATCCCAACTAAGATAAGACACTTAGCATTTCAAATTAGTCCGAAGTCACCTGCTGGACCATGTTGGTTTTTCCAGAGAATATTTTTAATGTGATGGAGGCTACCTATGACATTAATTTACTTTGAGCATGAAAGTGAAAGGACAAAAATAAATTCCAAGTCCTTCACCACTACACCTTGTAACACACAAGTGCTCCATGTCAGGTAATCTAAGAGACCATAGAATCATAGAATCATTTATGTTGGAAAAGACCTTTAAGATCATTGAGTCCAACGATGCAACTCTTCTCCCAAATCCACTGTGCCTATATCTTGTGTTACTGCTTTTGCTGGCAGTTTGCAGTTCGCTCTCAAAGAGGCATAAACACTTTTCATTGGCATGGGTATAGATTCACCCTTTCTACTAAAGGAAGACAGGGTGCTAAATACCTGACTGTAGAATGTCATCAAGTAAACACTGTCACCATAATTACACTCAGACCTGACTTCCTCATCATTTAGCCTAGTATGAGAAGAAAATTCAGTTTGCAAAAAAAGGAGGAGCAAGCTGGAACCAAAGTTTCTGGCCTCAGGTCACTGTGTTCTTTTTATTCCCCTCACTTACATTTATCCCAATCTCCACAAAGGAATCCTCTGCTGAGGAGATGTTCAGCTTGACCTGCAGTTCTGAAATGATGGCTAGCAGATCTGCCTTCTCAGCCTGGAGCCGCTGCACCTGGGATTTCAGCTGCCTCGCTTCCTTCTCGGGAGCCATGCAGCCCTCCTGGGATAAACAAACCCTGCATTAGCCAAGCAAAAGGAAACACCAGCCAAAGAGCACAGAGCCTGAACATAACAATGGTGTCCCACATCCCTTCTTCTCTGTTTAGGTTTGCCTGGAAAAACCCAGCGTACAGATCCCTAACCTATGCTTTGGTCCACTAGACAGCAAGAAGTCTACACTGTGAAACCAAGTTAATCAAACGATGAGCATCATGCTTCTGGAAAACAGGGGCCTGGTTCTCTAAACGCATAGATAATTAGGATGTAAATCTTTGCCTGAATCTATGCCTCTCACTACCACATAGAGTCTCAGAACTGTTGTCTTTTTTCACCCATATCCTATCCCTCTTTTCCCAAATCTACCTAAGATTATAGGGAGAAAAAAAACAGTGGGCAGACAGCTTTTCCACACAACCCACTTTCAGCCTTCCCTCACCGTACAACTTCTCCGTATCCCATCTCCATGTATAAATCTCTCCCTAGATCCCTGACCTTCACACAAAGTCCTATATTCCTTCTCTTCCACAAAGCCTCTGTCCCTCAAAGATTCTCCCCAAACTTAATCTCTCCTTCCAGTCATGACGGTCTCCTTCACCTTCTGCCTCTTCCCTTTCCCCAGGATCCTCAAAACCCTCTCTTAAGCCTCTACATAACCAGGAAGCCTCATTTCTCTCCTTTAGATGCCTCTTCCCATTATGAAACTTTCCCTGTGAGTTTATTTCTTCCTCATTTTGTAATCTGAGCCTTCCACCTCCTGGTAATACCTTTATTACACCACATTATCATCAATGTAAATTCTAGACAATTCCTGGAGTCTGAATTGCATTCTAATCTATCATTCATGCCAAATCTCCAAACTCTTGCTATGCTGACAGTGTCTCTCAACCCACAGTACCACCCTACCCACCTGACTTGCTTGTCTCTGATTTTGTACTTAGGCTGTAAGAGGATGCAATTAGAGTAAGCTCCAGTGAAAAAGAGAGAGCTTTACAGCAACCTGTGCAAACAGAGGTACGATTTTGAGAGAAACCCTCCTAAGAATGCTCGTTCATCACTAAGGGAGGCAACACAATATATCTGTGATTTACTTTGAGTGAAAGAGAGATGTCGCAATGGTAGCAATGGACTATAGTCTATCCCTGTTAATAGTAAAACACAGGTGAAAGAAATTAACTGATTTTAAATTAGAGGAATTTTTTTCATGCTCTTTCTAAACAAAAAAAAGAAAAAAGAAAAAAATTAAAGTAGAACTAAAGCATTCAAGAAAGTAATTTTGGCTTAAATGACAGTCAGCCTGAAAATCATCATCAGATATGAAAATGTTGCTGTCTAAATTAGTTACCACTGGCTAATAAAACTGCAAAGAATCAGAGAAGAACCAGTGCTTACTCTACAAAGCTCTTGGAATGAGATAATTAGAAAAGATTTATTTTTACTTATCTGGATGTTGGATTACTATAGCAGGTTGGATCACTCTGTCAATAACATACTTTAAGTATTCAAAGTACAAGAACTTCTAAAGCAGGTAAAGGCAGAATAAATCCTCTACTTCCCCTTAAAAACTATTCCAGATTTATGAAATTCTGAGTTTCCTTGAAAATCCTGAAACAGAACTTTTAGCCTGTAAAGATTGTGTAAGTAATACTTACACAATCACACTATTTATACATTACTTTCTTCCCTCCTTGTAACTTCTGAACTCATTGGCTAATTCTGATTTACATGCTGAAAAATTTCTTACAGAGTTCCATAAAATAGGCAGTCAGGCAAGGAAAGGAGTGCCTACTAGTGTCTCCGTTGAGAAAAAGGCTAATACACTCATCCTTCATCAGGCAACAGAGAATCCACCTGGGTCCTGGACGTACCAGATACCAGGATGCATCAGTTTGGCTCTGCATGAAACTTCTTGTTAAACACCTCTTCATGTGACCATGTGGGACACAAAGCAGGTTTTGTTTTAATAGGCTTTGTCCATAGAGGTCTTCAGTACTACCTGCAAAATGTTGCCTGGCTACTAAGCAATCACCTGCAATGTTAGGAATGATGTGTTGCAGAACCAAAGGTAAGACAGAGGGATGAAGCTCTGTCAGACTCAAATAGGGCAGCAGAAGTACAGATCTAATCTGACCTTGGTAAAAGAGTTTTCATGAGAGGGAATGACATAATAAAAACAGATGGCAGGTAATTTTTTTTTTTTCCTTACATGTCAACTTCTCCCTGGAAACACAAATACAAAAGCAATTAAACGATCATGACAGAGAGATAATCTAACCAGCAAAGGGAGGGATAAAGTCAAGAGATACCCAACAGTAAACAAAATAAAGAATGAAAAGTTAGCAATAAATGTTTATTTCTTATGTCAAGAATGTTAATTATTATTGTTAATTAAATGTTAATGGAAATGTAAATTATCTCAGGTGTGGCACAATTTTCTTACTACACTCTGAGAAGCCTCACTTTATAAGTCAGGCCAAGACCTCTTGTTAGATCATAAGGATAAAAATGGAGATGTTAACAAATCTCCAAAGCTCCCAGTGTGATGAAGGGACTGAATGCTCCAGACTTTCAGTTCAAAAGCGTGTCAATCCAACCAATTCCTTACTTACCATTTCAGCTCCTTCTCTTTCCTTTAAGGTCTGAAGTTGTTGCTGTAGCTGTTCATTTTCAATGCACTTGGCTAGCAAGCACTGCTTAGCCTCCTTAAACTTTAACTCATAAAATTCTCGTTCTTCTTTCTGCTTCTCTCGCCAGATGGAAAGTTCCTCATATCGGTCCTTCATAGCTTGGTTATGCAACTTCATGGCTTCTAAACAATAGCCAGAGACAAGACATTGGTTCACATTACTACTCTGTCAATGAAACAGCAGATTTCCACTATACTGAGCTCAGAATTCTTCAGTATCAAATGGCTTAGCAATAATTGGGTATGAAATGCAAACCTCCTTCTCGTGTACCTTAAATACCAAACCAAAACTAAACTTAGTATAGTCCATTAGCACTATAATAAATAGCATTAAATCCACTGCTGAAATCACATGCCCACACTCTCTCACTTGACTTATTCCTAAACTGAGAAGTACAAGCAAGAAGTATTGTTCACAAGAGGTACTTGGTATCTTGCTGCACGTGTTATTACATGATCAACCCAACTGAAACTACCGAACTGAGATTCTGAAACTACTGAGACTTGGTACAGAAAACAGACATCCTGGACTGGTAAATTACTGCATGAAGACAGATGCTATCAAATCAAACATCTCAAATATGCCCAGCAATGCTCTACTTGAACATTTGATTATGATTTGATCGAAAGCATTGAAAAAAATATACCCGACAATTTACAGCAAAGTCAGTTCCCCCTGGCTGGGAAGCCATGTATGTGTAACAAAGTCAGTATGGAACAATGTCAGTCTCACTACTGCAAAATGCTTAAAAGATTTTTAGGAAGAGTCACTGAAAGTATTTCAGACTTGCTTTTTTTAAAGCAGCAAACTCAACGCCAGTTGCCTGAAAATCTTTTATACATTGCATTTTCCAGTAACTTCCATTATGTCCTGATGTCATATTATAAACTGGCAACTAATTCTTCAGGTTACGTACATAAATGTAGCTCTGGAGAATGATTCTGCAAGGTATGAGTTACAGCAGCTGTCAATATGGTCCCGAAGCATTACCTTGTATGATACAGGACCTTTTAGCATAATACCAGAGGTACTTCTAGAAACAACTTTCCTGCCAGATACCCATGAGACTCCAAGGCAGAGAGCTTGGACCAGGTCCAAAAATTATTCAGGTGGAATTTAAACACTAGTGTAAAATCACAGGACACACAATATGTGACTTCATGCTCTGTTGCCATATAAACAGTGACGTACCACTGTCTTTTACATAGAAAATTCCCAGATCCCTTAGGTTTTGCTCTATCCATTTAAAAAAAAAAATCATATGTGACATCTAAACTCCTAGAAACCAGAAACACGTCTATCTCACCTGGAAGACTCAAATCATTAGGCATTTTCAGGAAAACCTATCGATTTCTCCCAGATAGACCCTGCCATGGCCACCGCTTCCTTCTGAAGTACGGAAGGTGCTGCCACATCTAAACATTCATAGTCATTACTACACACAGCGCAGGACAGCCTGCTCCAATCCCCCTCTCTGCCCAAGAGGATGTGGCTCTTTTCAGCCAGCATCCTAACCCAAACTGTTCTGGGCACTGTGCAGTACCCACCCCTCCTGATGCAGCTATGCCAAAATGTTAGTCTGTCTGCAATGGAGCTGCCCAACAGTCCAAAAATACAAACCAAAAAAGCTCTTAGAGGTTGATGAGCAAAGACCATATCATAGCAAGAGATATTCCATCTCGCCTCCTAAAATACACAGTGCTATACTGCTTATGTATAATTCTAAAGCAAATAAGTCACCCGTACATTGGGCTGTTCTCCCCCTAATCTTCCATACCAATTTAATTTGATGTGTCATACCAAACTGGGCTTGCTACTTGCAGAGTCTCTTATAGAACAAATGCCACCTGGGTATAAAATGTTATCCAGCAAGGGCGAGTGAGCACAGAATTCATACTCATAGGACAAAAAACCCCACAGAAGAGACTCAGGGCTTTTGCATTTCAAGACCAGTTCACATGCACATTCACCTTTTAAGTCATTGTTCTCAGTGATTAGTTCTTTCATCTGTTGTACCATCTCTTCTGGGGTGTAGGTACTAAGGGCAGGGGCTGCCATGCTGTCCGTTCCGTTTTCCATTTTACTCCTGGGATGCTCCCCATTTTCAGCAGGACGGCTCTTCAACTTGCTAGACATTTCTGAAGCGTCTACTACAAGGTTTGCAAAGAGAAAACTCTCCATTTCTTGCCCAATAAATGTTTATAAAGAAAACATAATCATACCTTTATTTTATTAAGACAAGCAAGCCACATGTCTTGTCACAACACACAGGCACCTTCTAACCCCTCTGACCCCGCTACACCTGAGTATCCACGAGTCTCCACATCCCATTAACCCCTCACAGGACCGCATGCATAAAGCAACGGATCCCCGAGACCTCCCTCAGCCTAACCAACCCCTCCTCGGGAGCCCCTTCCTCTGGGAATGAAACAACAAGAACCCCCGTCTCACCGACCCTCCCCTCTTTCCCTCACCAGCCCCGGGCGTGCGCAGCCGGACAGTATTTTGGGCGGTCGGCACCTCCCGGCCCTGAGGGGAGCGGGCTCCGACACCCGCCCGGCCCTGACAGGGCCTGGGACGCCGCCGCCACCCCCCCGCCCCGCTCGGCCTCCCCCGACGCTGCGTTTCAACGCCGATATTCCATTTCCGCTGATTTTTTAACTTTCGTTTTCGCTTTCTTGTCCCCTTTCTCCTTCTCCCCCGC